GACAAATATGGCAATCTGCCCAAGGTTAAGTCCATATCTCAATGAAAACGGGTCTTTACAAGATCCAAGTATTTTCTCAATAATGTTTATATTTTCCACGAATGTGACATTTGACCCAGTTTATTTAAATAATGTCTCTTTACATTGTGGAACGCTAACCAAACCGGACTTTGGCCTATTAATTACACTTTTCAATTAATTTCTGTAATTATGTCACATGCACAACATACATACGGCCATATTAAAAGACTTGAATATACAATGAGAAGAAAACAGCTGTCAAAATATTCGTTTACACATTCATGAGCTCATTAGCATGACTATACAGCAATATCTTTTGTCACACAATTTATGAATTTAATACGTGGCCCGAGCATTATAGAATGAACACATCCAAACCAGTGTTTATTGCTCTGCCAACAAAACTGATAAAAACATTGGATTTTTGTGCAGAACAACAGAAATAGTTTTCATTCAAAATATATATTGTTTATTTTGACTGGGTACTGACGGGAAAGACGCCAGTCTTGCGACGAAAGTTACAACAAAAAATAAATATAACAAGTATGTACTTTTAAAAACACACTCCTTTCTGTTATTGCTGGAATTTCGGAAATCCTTTTTCTAGGAATTTCTCCGAGAAACCATGTAGAATTAGTTTGCTACGACCAGAACTTTCCTTTTTTGTTTGTCAGTCACTAGCAAGTTATAATAGTGCTATTAACAATTTTGTGGTGAGACCTTTGAAAAAAACCTTTTTTCTGCAGATAGAATTGTCTGTGCTAAACTAATGACGCAATCAGATAATTCGACACCAAAATCCTAACGTTATCTATCATCAGTGACTGAACACAATGCGTGGCGACTCCTAATTAACTAAAAAATCTTTGTATTGTCGCGTTTCCGAAAATACAGAATGTACCTAGATGGCGCCTTTGTAGTTTATAACAAAAGAAGTATACACACATCATGGTGTTAACTTGTATGTATAGTTAGTCATGGTTTTAGTCTTAAACTAAGTAATACATTATAAAATGGTCCTATGGGTACGCAGCGGTCGTAAAATTCAACATACCTAAATTCTCCATAAAGGTAGGTAAGGAATGTGGAAATGAGGTTCTAAAAATTCGTCCGATTCTATAGAATTCTTAATGTCATTTAATATCTGTATTTTAAACACACCTTTGCCTATAATATACGTGAAAATACGTCCTTAAGAATATTACGGACGTATTACATCATTAACAAAAAAAAACCTAAGTCCCACTTAACAACAGATACACAAACAAGCCAACTAATTTCATCATTGAATTCACAAAAGAAAGTGCCATAAACGGACATCATTGTTACTAATAATAATAAAGATTTGCACTATAAATAGTTTCATAGTCTAGTCTAGACAGATAAATAATTATATTCATCCGACCCGCCGCATAATCGCGTGATATCGGACGCATTTCATTCTAATTCACTTAGATAACAGTGTAATTCAATCTTATTGTAAGCTAAACTTTGTTCGGGTCATTTGTTTGTTTTTTTTATGGAATAAGCCAGTAAACGAGCAGACGGATCATCTGATGGTAAGCAATCGGGGTCGCCGCGAAGAATCGCGAAGTGTTACAAGTATTACTGGGACGCGCCGGACTTCAGTGTTCCGGTGTTTCCATGGTTGTATAGACATATTGTAGACCCATGGTAGACCATACTGTAGATCCTGGATTACAGGAGATCCAGTGGCTTTGGGAGGATATGGCGGACTAGTCCCATTGTGCTCGTACTTGTGCTCGTACCTAGGTGTAGTTTCGAATAGAGAAGAATGAGTAAAAAACTCCATCGGTACTCTTTTACTCATTCTCAAAGGAGTCCATCTATAGTCATTAGTTAAGGAATTCTGATTTTATGACTTTGACATTCCAATTGGATACAAAATATTATTGTAAATTTCGAGTAAGAAGCTTACTGTGTAGTAATAATTCCCAAACTTACTTGTCTATTGATAGTTTAGTTTTGTTGGAATGAATAAAAGATGAAAGATTTTTAATGTGTTTTAGTATTTTATAAAGTTTTTTTTTTATTTCCATATAGATCATTTCCACCTCATCTCAACGATAAAGGCATTCATTTTTTATGTATGAAAGGGTCTGCCCCGATGTTTGTGCTAATATAAAATTTATGTATACAATATGATGTTATCGTGCAAAAACAACTCATCTAGAACAGATTCATTTTTAAGTACGATTTATTAGGAATGCTTTTATTATTTGGTTTGCGTTTAATTTATTACAGTGATTGCAATAATAATTATAACAGCTACTGTATGAAAGGCAACTTTAACAATACAATCGTGAATACCTTTCAAAGTGTTGAACTTAGCTCAAACTTATATTTCGATCTAGATCTGAATATACGCTTTCTAAAAACTATGATACTTTAAGTTTTTTTTTTAATTTTTAATGGGGGGAAAACCATCGATTGTCTTCTCCCGCCTGGGTGAGGCGGGAGGGAGTGTTAGATTCTTATTTACTAAAAACCACCCCGTCCTACACCTGCACTCCGAGCCGGAGCCCCGATAACCCGTTAGGTTCTCCGCGACTCCGATGATTCTTTAAGTCTAAGGTCACATTTATTATTGTTCATTATTGTCACCTTTCCTCTCATTACAAAACACGCCCGTACCATCTTAAGTTAGGACTTTAGTGCCTCGTCGTAGCGTGATTAACCATATACCGTGGCCCCAGTGTAGGGCAAGAATTGGAATTGTTTATAGTCAGTAAGAGTACGACACTATTAAAGGGTAGATTTTTCATCCCCACAAAAAGTATTTATTGCCCACATCAACTTAGTCTTATTCGCGTTATTAGTTCCATGAAATTCCATATAACAAAGGACGAACCAATTCCCATTCATCAGGCACAATTTCAGACATCGTTTTACTAAGAAGTACCAATCGAATAATGCAATATGCACGATTCAGATATAAAGGAAAAACCCAGCAGTTTATACAGACAATTAAATATGTTAACAACATTTAGGCAACATGAGAAAACAATCATTCCCATACCTAGTCAAACAAACACCGATTTTTAGGTGCTACCAACAACAATACAGTACAAAAATAGACCTTATTACATTGAACTAAAAATAAAAATAGAACATTGTTATTGTCGGGAATAAAAGGGCTTTCTCGGTGGTGCTAACGTCATTAATGACGCGTGGGCGTCGAACATTTTGTCGCGGTATCGGACAGAAAGGGGGCGGTTCCCGGCGTTCAGCGTTCTCTTAATGATATTATGTAGTAATAAACACCGTAAATTACATAAAAACCTTTATTCATATTAAATTAAAGACCAATTTCGTGTTTTAAATATTCCTTCTATCACATAACACAAAGGAAAGTGCTTTCCATGAAAGAGTGAGCTATAATAGATTTTTAGGTAGAGACTGCACGGTTGGCGCGGCGGCTGGGCAACCAGCTGCCGAGCACTGTGTCGTTCGACTCTCGCACGGAACAACTCTTTGTGTGATCCACAGATTGTTGTTTCGGGTCTGGATGCCATGTGTATGTGAGATTGTATATTTGTGAACGCACCAACGACACAGGAGAATACACTAGTGTGGGGCAACGTATTAAAACGAAAAAGGAAATAAAAGAAAAGAAAACATATCAAAAATATTTCACTGCTCAAGTGATTTTATTTTGTTCCTGAATTCATACACCGATTTCAATAGTGGCAATAACTTGTTCTATGATCAAAACTAATAACGAATTCCGTAGGAAATGCATGTAAAATGTATGTAGTAAACAATATATTTTTGCTTACACAAAGGTAAAAGAAGGATATTCCAATAAGGAACATAGGGATGCTAACCAGCTGATTTTCACCTTGAGTTAGGTAATAGGACCAGTATCAGATATAAGGATTTAAGAAAGTCTTGACTTTTTAGATTATGCATGCATAGATTACAAATAAGGTATGTAATTGATGTATAACGGACCACTGGTGCTTATACCTCTTTGTCAGTATACTAATCAAAAGTCAAAAAGTCAAAATCATTTATTTCAATTAGGCCAGAATGGCACTTTTGAACGTCAACAAAAAGAAAATTAAAAGTGAAGCTATTTGCTCATTCCAAGGTGTAGATTCCTACGGAGAAGAACGAGCAAGAAACTCCATAGGTTTTTCACTCTCCGTACTCTTTTTCAATCAGGTTCACAATACAATATACTAGTTACATAGTTTTGCTGTTTGGATTGTGCGAGAACAATGTAACACTAAAATCCAGTCAAAGTGATCAAAAAAGAAAATAACCTTAAGGAAAATAATACAGTCTGGAATTATTAATTAATAATATTCTTCATTCCTGACTTGATTACATAAATATTTCTCTTAAACTATGTTCAAGAACATAATTAGTAATAAAACTTTAGATTACTGATAGACATGTAATAGGTAACAGTGATTCATACATTTAGGTCATCAGTGAAATGGAATAGTACCTGAACTATCCAATTTGTGTCTTATTGCCTTAAATTACGATTGGATTTTAAATTCTTATCATACATTTTTTTTTAATGAATTCAATCTAGATTTATTAAGGGTAGACAAATCATGCATTTCAATTTATAAATTCTGTCCTATAGATTAAAGCTCAATTTGGCATAACACAAATTTCATTGCATAATATGGTGAAAGTGATAAAGAAAAATGTTCAAAGTGACTTTACAGACATTAATTGTGTCAATCAGTAATACCCTAATGCAGTTTGTTGCTTGTCTTTCTCCAAGAGCCTTCTACTTTTGTAACAAGCTCAAACTCAAACTCAATTCAACCGTAGCTTTTTTTATTCAATAGAGCCAATGTATGTTTTTAAATCGAAATAAATACTTTTTTCCATAAAAAAGAAAACAAATGATCAAACGAATCACCTTTATGCATTTACTCATTGCATAGAAATGGATATGAAAGAACCGATGACCAAGTAAACTAAAACTGACATACCTTCAACCCCTGCTTTCCCCTTCAGAGCGATGACCTTGCTGGCCGGATTCATGATGGCAGAATCAGCACTGATTGGCCGACGGATGGGGTTGGTGGGGTCGGCCATATCGATGATCACTACTTCCGCAGTCTCACCGACTTTTTCACGGACACAGATGAACTTGTCCGACTCCATCGTGAGTGTGTTGAACGATATGGAGGCTGGATTGATGCCCACATTTGTGAGCTGCAAGGGAAATTGAGCTTTATTAATATGGGAACTGAAGTCATGTTTTCTACTGTAATATTTCAAGTGGAGTTTGTTCCTCAATGTCCTCTTTGTTAGTTGAGAAGATTATTATGTAACTCATACCCTATTTTTTTAAACAGAATGTTGAAGGTGACTTATAATTTTTTTTAAATATTATAACCAATTTGTATCTTATAATTTATTATTCAAAACTCTTATGTTATAAAATAATCTAGATAAAAATAGTTTTGTTTTGATTAGCCTAATTAGAATTAGTCATAGTGTTTAGAATAAAGATATGCTAAAATAATCAATAAGTAGTATGAATACTGACAGCTCATACATAATCACATATTTGGTTTGGGGAATCCTTTTAAATGGTGACACATTATTTTGAACTTAGAATTAACTTAAGTTTGTAATAAGAATTGAATAAATCCTTTTTTATTTATATTAACCGATAATATTACCAACCCTCTTAATAAAAAATTATAACTCTTTTTATATATTTATTCTGTGGAAAGTTAGTTCACAAAAAAAAGATTGCATTTTTCATCAATGGCTATTTCTTTCTTTCAAATTCTGACCAGTCATTGGTGTTATCATAGCCAGAATAATTAAAAAAAATTTCAGCATACCAAGTTCAATGCCTTTTGCTTCACCTTCTAAGTAATCTAGTTCTTTGACTTGCCTTGATAATAAGATAAGGTGTATTGTAGGAATTACTTAGACATTATTATGTCTATGATTTATTTTCAGGTTTTTAATAAAAAGAGGTTGAGTTATTAGTATTTATTATACATCATCATTATTTTAGTTCTAGTGGTGACTAATCCTAGATCTTATCAAACAAACAATATAATATATAAAATAAATATACTTAAAGTAAGTTTTCTTTCCAATTTCTATTCTTATGAGGTTTCCTCAGATCCAATTCTAATTGGATTAACTTTTGTTGTTGATATGTGTCATGTATGTTACCAAATAACAGTAGAGTATAGTAAAATACTAAGGGACACAAAGACAGGACATTTTAAATAGGTACTTAGGCTTTAGGAAAACGTAGATAGTAGGAAGTTTGAACTACTAACTTTGACCTGAATGAACGAAAATTTGGCATTGGCTTCCAGACCATATGATCTAGAGAGAATGTAGAACAAATCAATACCGGCCGCTCGTCCCGTGGGCTCGGCGCTTCGGCGGATAGGGGGTGGTAACTGTCACTGCGATAATTGCGCAATGCCATTATAACCGCCACATAACCACCCTACCATGCAAATAAATGCACCACCGACACCCCAACACATCCCCCTGACGTACACTGATAAATTGCTTCCTCAAAGGAAACGCTATCGGCAAATCCAATAAACCGATGGGCGTACTCACCTGTAAATGCTCCTGAAAACGTATCGGTAATATTTGCGCCATCGTTGCGTAAACCCACGCCCTTAATTAACCGAACCGGACAACAAGCGACCCTTTGAATTCACCAACTCTGAAAAAATTTCACAAATCAATTCACTGCTGTCTCATCCGAAAACACTTTTGACAATCAACATGGCGTTCGTGATCGTAAAGAAATTGACAACGGAGAAACGAATTTAAATATTTTTTTATAGAGAAAGTATTTGTCCCGAAACAACTCACATTTTTTTAAATACTACATTAAGATAAAATGGGGTCCAATAAGTTTTGCTATTTCGGAGAAATATGACGAACAAACTACACCCGCGGCTGCCACATATACAAATGAATGAAATGGCACATAATGTAAGAAAAAGAAAGCAAGAACTTTGTCGGCTTTCGGATACGTTCCTATTTAGTATTACTATATACTACAGGATTTCATTCATAACTTGGCAAAAAAATCAATAACGTTATTGGAAAAGTTCACTGCAAAATGTATTTTTCGGCATTGGATTATACAGAATCATCTTTTAACATAGTTCAAACAGTAAATTACCTTATTATGGTTTCTTAACTACTATAACACAAAGTATTCTCAAAAAATATTGACAAGTTCATAACGAATGATATGCTTGCTTTTCCTTATTTATAATAATTCTAGTATTCTAGTAGGTACTGATAACATAACAAAATAAAACTATTTCGATTACGTTTCAAATTCAATAGTTTCAATTTTCGAGAACGCAGCCATTAGTGCTGTCGAAAATCGAGTGTTGCAAACGTAACGTCAATTTTAAGCTTGACATTGTGATTATCTCTTTTACTCTTTGATGTTTTGAATCTATGCGTCTCTTTTGCTCCACTGACATAAAATTTAAAAAAAATAAAATCTTTCGTTCATTTGACAAAGGTGTCAAAATCACAACAAAGGTTGACTCGAATTGTTTTGAGTGTGGATTGCATGATTTGCATTTATTTTTCAATCAGTCAGTTATTCTTAAATCAATTAAAATGGTAAATTTAGTCAGCTGTTATAACTGTGTTTGGAATACTTTCAATTATTTGCTTAACGTGCACTTTTATAGTTTCAGTTTGGATTCAACATGTTTCATGAAATCAGCAGACCCTTTAACATGACCTATAAGTGTTATTCTGTCTCTATGTTACCTGGGAATGAGAGACAAGATGTAGAAAGGGGAGGAAAAAGTAAGACTCTTCAATGTGCACTTTACAATACGAAGCAATAAGCTAAAGTAGTCAGCCATTGTTCCAAAGCCAATAAACAATTTTCAAGGACTTTCTATGTGTCCAGATATTTAAATTGCTCTAAATAATATCTTTATACATTACATTTGACTAAAGCAGCTATGTATTATCAAATAAACAGCTGTATTTTGCAAGAATTTTGCATCTCTAAGATTACACACTAATCACTTTACTTATCACTCCAAAAATACATTATTGTATGTCTATTACATAAAAAGAAATGTTTCATTTTTCAGTTATAATGCCACCATCAGCACTGGAACAGCTGACAAGGCTGAATATTGAGTATCCCATGATATTTAAACTAACAAATAAAAAAACAAAAAGAGTGACACATTGTGGTGTGTTGGAGTTTGTGGCAGATGAGGGAAGAGTTTATTTACCACATTGGGTAATGTATTGATAATATTGCTTGATATTTTATAGTCTATCTGTATGTTGCTTTTTAAAAGAGTAACAAATAATGGAATTTCTTGCTTATTCTTCTCCATTCAAATCTAGATTTTGGAATGAGCACTGACATTTACTGACGGACAGACTGACAGACTACTATTTATTTTGTATTTCTTGATGTTTCAAAAGTACCAAATTATGGTTTAATTAAAATAAATGCTTTGACTTTGACTTTTAAAATAAAGGAGCTAGTCACCTTGATATCCTGTTGTACTTAAATATTATATTATAATTTTTTTATACTCTGTATGGCTTATACTTTCATAGACAAGGCATAATCATCATCATCATCATCATCAACAGCCTATAAGTGGCCATTACTGAACAAAATCACCTTCTCACACAATGCTGTTACTTCTTTCTTACTTACTGATAAAGATAAGACATTGTAACTAATATTGTGGTATCAGTAAGCTAAATAGCATAGTTGTAATCTTTAGCTATCACGCTTACTTTCATTATATATATAAATTATTTTTTACATTTCTTAATCCATGGCATATTAACTCATGGTAGCCGGAGAGCAGGTATACACGAGACCCAATGTGTTTTCTATTATGTCTTATATACCGACATTCAAGCGGCATTTATTCTATTTTATTATTTAATGCAGAGCAGCATTTATAAACAATAACTTCAATCATCATTTACTGACTTGACTGCATGTTTTGCGCGGTGTTTGGGCATTGTATGTTTGTAAACGCACCCACGACACAGGAGAAAATCCTTACATCATAGTGTTATTCTTTACATTTTCTTTAAATCTTTAGAACCTTGTAGTTATGAATATTCTCCTTGAAATGTAACATTTTTTAATCTACTACACTACACTACCCATTTCATAGTAAACCCATCTATCACCAGTTTTTTTTATATTTGATTAGTTGACATATTATTAATGGTTTTTATAAGTTGCTGCTCATAACGTAATTAGTGAAATGCAAAGAGGGTGTTACATTTAATTTGTGCAACTCAGGGAATAAAACAAGCAGCATAATATTTCTCCTAAGACAGTTGCCTGGAAAATTATTCTATACTAGCTCCTGCCGCCTACATAAAAGATTTACCACTTGACGACAAGAGAGTCGTGTGAAAGGAATTTTCATACAAATATGGCTCTTGAAGAAAACATAAACTGAGAAATCAGACAAAGAAGTGGCTTATTGTTGAAAAACAGATTGCCATGTAGCAGAACTCAACCAAAAAAAAAAAAAACTAGCTCCTGCCAGCGGCTTTGCCCATGTTCCCTTGCGATAAAAAGTAACCTATGTGTTATACCATACCACAATATACCCCTGTCCCAAATTTCATGCATATTCTTTCAGCCGTTTGGACGTGAAAAAGTAACAAACGCTCACTGTACATCCTCACAAACTTTCACATTTATAATATTAAGCCTTTGACTGCAGATAGAAAAATGCTGAAGGCAAATCCTCCGCTAACGTAGGTCACCGGTAGGGTTGCCACCTTTTTCTTTGGTAGGTATTTAAAGTACATTGACGATTATAGGTAAGAAAAAAAAAGTACACAGTACAAAATACATACACAGTATTATACATATTTAAAAATATATTATTTATTGCTTTTTGCAGTTTGTATTAAAGTAGTACCTTTATTAAACAATTGCATCTTTACTACAAATTGTCTAAGTGACGCTGGCGAGTTATCGATTCAACATAAATCGATAAATATCGATATCGAATCGATAAGTTTACCGAAAAATACTTACGACTATAACAGAAATAAAGTTTGCAAAAATAAAGTATTTTCGTGTACTTTATTATTCTTACAAAGAATAAAGTACAATTACCTTAAATAACGTACAATACTTTATTATAAAGTACGGGTGGCAACCCTAGTCACCGGTGACCTACGCGGCGGTTAACGTGTTAATTAATAATTTACCTGTTGAAATATCATCCCTTAAATTTGTTCATACAAAAGTAGTCTCTAAACATCCGAAATAAGGTCTATAATGTAGTTAGTTGAGAATGGTCACCAGTGACCCCTTGGGGATAAATGGTTTGAAGTAGGATTAGTAGGCTATTAGTAGTATTTACTAATATTGTTTGACTGCCTCGATGGCCGAGTGGTCGCAAGTGCGACTGCCGGGCAAGGGGTCTCGGGTTCGATTCCCGGGTTGGGCAAAGTATTACAGGGTTTTAAAAAAAAATCTCAGTAGTAGCACGGAGTCTGGAATTGTGCCCGGTATATGGCAATAGGCTCACCCCCTATTACATGGGACTCATAACATAAATAGTGAAAAGTGGGTGTTACATTGTACAGAGGCATAATGTGCACCTCTGCCTACCCCTTCGAGGATAAAAGGCGTGATGTTATGTTATGTAATATTGTTTCTCTCTATGTTAATGCTAAATTGTGTGTGTTATTCAGATGATGACGAACCTGGTGGTGGAAGAGGGAGCACTACTACAAATAGAGAGTGTGTCCCTACCTGTGGCCACATTCTCGAAGTTCCAGCCTTTATCTGAAGACTTTTTAGATATAACTAATCCTAAAGCAGGTAAGTCCATTCTAACTCCTCATCTCAACCATGTAAAGTACTATACTATTATTAAGCTGGATATTTTGCTTTATTTAAAAAAATTTGGGGCACTCACCAGGCATACTTATATTTATAATATCTTGAAACTGTGCGACTGCCGGGCAAAGGTTCTCGGGTTCGATTCCCGGGTCGGGCAAAGTACTACTAGGTTTTTAAAAAAATCTCAGTGGTAGCACGGTGTCTGGAATTGTGCCCGGTATATGGCAATAGTTTCAAACCCAATTACATGGGAGTCATAACATAAATAGTGAAAAGTGGGTGTCACAATTGTACAGTGGCATTAAGTGCCGTAATGGCGTAATGTGCATCTCTGCCTACCCCTTCGGGGATAAAAGGCGTGATGTTATGTTAGGTTATGTTTTATTTTGAAACTATGATATTGCAGGACATGTAAAAATGATAATAAAAAATGCCAGCCACTTAATGAACATAATATCTATTTAGAAGCAACTATTATAAATAAAAATATCTAATTTTGATTTCTATCAGCGATTTGAATTTTAGAAAACACTAGAGCAGTATTATAGAGTTTCTTATTATGTCCGATAATCGGACTGCTAAGATACTGCCCTCTATGGCTAGCATAGGCATACTCATAGCTAAAATAGTAATCCGATTCTTTAAGAGTAAGACATTAACATACCTCTAATTTTCTTGTTTCAGTGTTAGAGAACTGTCTACGTAACTTCTCATGTCTAACGACTGGCGATGTGATTGCCATCAAGTACAACTCTAAAGTGTATGAGCTGTGTGTGCTGGAGACTAAACCAGGGAATGCTGTCATCATCATAGAGTGTGATATGAATGTAAGTAAACTTTTGATTCCATCCTTTTTTATGGGCTTAGCCGGTAAACTAGCATACGCATCACCTCCTCCACCTCAAACCAAGACAGTTATTAATGTCCGTGGGACACGCCGGACTTCAGTGTTCCGGTGTTTTCATGGTTGTATCGACTGTAGATCCTGGCTTACAGAAGTTGCAGCGGTTTTGGGGAACGGGTGCATTACCGGTGTTTAGGGATTCGGGGATTGAGGAAGTTGGGGAGGGAGAGGGGTAATTGGGCCTCTAGTAACCTGACTCACACGACGAAACACAACGCAAGCGTTGTGTCACTTCGGTTTTCTGTGAGGCTGTGGTGTTAGCCCGGTCGAGTTGACCTATACATGCCGAAGCTTGACTCTCCCACACTTATGTTTTAACATGTTTTAAAAAAGGGATATTTCTGTTAAAACTACTGCAAATTTTTTTAAGTGATTTTCAACAGTGGATACAATATTGTGTACTGCACAGATGTATGTAACTGCAGTGAGTCAAGGCGAAAATGGTCTGTGTCCTATCTGGATACATGTGACTTTCCAAATGATTATTCACTTTATCTAATTCTTCACACCAGACAACCGTTTTCAACTTATTAAAAGAAACTGATATGTTTCATCATCAACAGCTTATAAATGCTCACTGCTGAGCAAAGGCTCATCGCACACGGAGAAGGTTTGAGCATTAATCACTACACTTGCTCAATGCAGGTTGGCGATTACAGACTTATAATTAGAAATTATAAGCCAAGGTTTCCTCACGATGTTTTCCTTCACCGATTGTCAGTGGTGTCTTGATAACCTTAGAGACTTTGTATCGTCATATAACCCGGAAAAAGTCACATTGGTACTTGCCGTTGGTAGGTTTCGAACCCGCACCCTCAAAGGTCAATCGGACCTCTTAAACCTCCGGGCCACCACGACACATTTATGTTTATTGAGCTTTAACTTTTTGTAAAAGTGTATAGTGACTTCATACGTTTCTAATCAAGACTTATCACATCACAGGTAGAATTTGCGCCGCCGGTTGGCTACAAAGAAGAAGAACGTATACCTCATGATGATGGGGGCAACTCGATGGGAATGGACGAGGATCCTTCGAACATGATGCCGGAGCCCAGCGGCTTCATCGCTTTCAGTGGCGAGGGCAACCGGCTAGACGGCAAGAAGAAGAAGTTGATCAGTGAGAGCGACTCTGAACCGTCCGCGTCACAGTCTAGACAGGTTGGTGTTAATATTTATGGTACCTTTTGTACATTTTCAGATTGATAAAAGTGCCTATTTGCATATTCTCAGGAGTAATATGTCATTTAAATAGATATAAATAGTTTTTAAGTAAATGAACTGACTGCCTCATTGGCCGTGTGGTCGCAAGTGCGACTGCCGGGGAAGGGGTCTCGGGTTCGATTCCCGGGTTGGGCAAAGCATTACTGGGTTTAAAAAAAATCTTAGTAATAGCACGGCGCCTGGAATTGTACCCGGTATATGGCAATAAGCTCACTCCCTATTCCATGGGACTCATAACATAAATAGTGAAAAGTGGGTGTTACATTGTACAGCGGCATAATGTGCACCTCTGCCTACCCCTTCAAGGATAGAAGGCGTGATGTTATGTTATGAACTGAAATATTCTACAAAGTACATCAACTTTTTTCAACCTTTGATTTTTTTATCAAATCAAGCAAATATATTTGTAATTTTACCTTCTGTACCATAAAACCTTGTTTGCTATGTTACTCATGCTTATGAAGTATGCCTGATGATATACAGTCATTTTTCATAAACATCTAAATACTTCTTTCATTCTTTCTAGCCCTACGTCAGAGGTATCCCAGACTATGACTACGTGATAGGCACTCTAAGATTCATCAGAAACTCCAGGCCGCCCAGTGCCAAGGAGGAGACACCTTCGGAACCATTCACAGCATTCAAAGGCGAAGGCTTCACGTTAAGAAATACCAAGCCCAAGAACTGAGTATGAAATAGTTAAATGTTAGATTTTTTACACATAATGTTGCCTGTAGATGAATCAGTTTTATTTTATTTTTTGTGTTGGCAACACTGATGGTCTGGGGTGTGATACTTATATTTATTTCTAGCGTTATTTTTGATATTTTTGGCTGTAATACTGATACTGAAGTGATACTGAACTTTCGACAATCTACATATAATTGGCTGTTGTTGCCCTTCAGTTTTCTGAAATATTAAGTATGTTATTTAACCACTTCAAACTAGCTAGAAGATATGCTTTATCTTTAATCCTAGGGACATCCTAAATCCTTCACTTGACAATTTTGAATATTTTTCAATCTTTCAATCAATTTAATAATTTCTATTTTGTTAAGTTGCCTCAATAATCGATGAAAAACATCATAAGCGTCAGGGCATTCAGTACAAAGGCATGTCATCTTATCAGTTCCATTCAACGCGCAATTTAGGGCTTGACTAAAATTATCAAGTTGTTATCAACCAAGATACGATATCACTGCTTCATCTACAGAACAACGAAAAAATAAAATAAAAGATACTTAGAAATGTTTTATAATGTTGTGATTGTCAAAATAATGAGCATCGAAAGCTTGACATTTGAATTACCTCTGTCATAGTTGCAGACTAAAAGCTAAGTTGGTTCAGCTTAGCTTGCATAGCTAAGCACAGATTATGTAAATTAAGCTGTGTAGTACCAGTAACTCTTTACAGACATGTTAAATAAAATAATAGTACAGGTTAATCACATTATACGAATTTCGAGTACGCCCGACTAGTTTCTAGCTGCACTGGGAATGTTAATAATGAGTTGCGTGTGTAGATGAGCATCTCCGAATTAGTTTATGTGAGTCGTATTAATATTGCTTAAAAGTATGTTAAGCATCTCTCGGCCCTATCAACCTTTTACTCGTTCAAATTCAACGTTGAACACCAAGATTTTGCTTACGTTTGGCATTCAATATGTGCACAGAATATACTTGTAATTAAACTTGCCTAAAGCTGCCATACATGCTACGGTCTATCGGAAAGGTCTACCTGTGCAGACCGTAATATATAGACCTGTGCAGAACTGAAGACCGCTCCGGTACACCGGAACGTCCCCATATACTCTACCATTGTTGGGTCTACTTACACAGATGACCTCTCCAGTAGGCCATAGCGTGTATGGCTTAGATTATTTAGTTTAGTACTAACTTAATTTTTAGCCTGCATGATGCAAAACCTAAGCATTTCAGTAGTAGTGTAAAAACCTCCTTTCAGTCTACTTTTTTGTTACTAGATACCTAAGGCAATAAGTCTTATAATTCCAAAATTTCATGTAATTAGCGACTTTATAGTTCATGTGGTAAAGTTCAGTTTTGATTGGTGTCAAAATGTACTTACTGCTGTTTACGACTTTTGAGCAATACTATAATATCGTATGGTCTAATATTAATGTTGTTAGAAATTGTTACATTGCTTATACTGTATTAAATTTCAACTTTAAAATAAATTGTATTCTACATATTTGTAGTTACAGTTCATTTTAAAATTAAAATTAAAAATATATTTTTTTTTATTTTATAACAACTAAAACTGATCTTTATCACAAGCTTTAAGAATCCATAATCCATAATCTTTTTAGTGTAGAGTAAATGCACCCACAAGTCATCTCACAAAATCTGTGCGTATTTTTATATAGAGAAATAGTTAATAAAGTTTATAAATAAATAAATAATAGCAGAGTCATTAACTAATTGATACCGAGACCGCGTGCCTTGTCAGAAATACCAATATTGAATTGACGTTATATCCATAGGCGACCATTTTATACATACATAATAATTATGTTCCTCGTACCGTATCATAATAAATATTGCGCTAGTTGTAGTACATTTTAAATAATAGATACGATAAAAATTGTTGCCAAGTCAGAAAAGCTATTAATACTAAAGTGTAAGGTTTTTTTTTCTTTGGCAAACGAGTCTCCAAAACGATCTTGTCGACTATACTGCCAGCAAGTATAAGGTTGAAAATCTATCAAATTAATGACTTGGCAACCGAATTTTGTCAGTACTAGTATCCAGTTCAGGGTGCTTACTCTTGAAAACAATCTCAATGCAATTTCAAAACTAAGCAATCTCAATAATTATTCAATGTTAAAACTATACAACCCCTATCTTAGCTATTAAAATAGCATTCAGAGTACGGAATACAAAGCTAAACTCAATGCCATTTAGTTCATTCAATATCCACGAAATTTGGATGTAATGGGAGCTACTGTTGCAACTCGAGAGTACGAAATTTCACAATACCAATGTCGATTGATCGATTGGATTCAAGAGTAAGCCTCCAGGTAAAATCAATAACATCTACTCAGAAAAAGATTAGTGTTACCAAAACTCAGCTAGCTAGCTTTGTGACTGTGTTAATATTAACCTATTTAAGAGGTACTACCTACATCGGTTACATAAATAAAATAAACAATATTCAAACTGCTTGCAGTTACTGGAACGTGACGTAATGAATGCATTCACGCTGAAAACACGCCAGTAGGAAATCCACCAAGTATTTATTAGTAATTTACTAGTATTTTTTTTATATATATGGGGTTGTCAGCACTTAGCATATTAAATAGGTTTTATATGCTACAAACTGCAATTTATTAATTCCAAATTTGAATGTCAAGCTGTAGCATTCATGAAATGATTGCTTCATGCTTTCTTGCAATTTATTGGAATTTAGAGTGAAAGGAGTAATGATGCTAAGGATTCATTCACAAGAGCATAAAAATAATTTTGACATTGGTAACAATATTTTGCTCATATTTAGTTAGTATTTGTTACTGGGATCTCTGAATACTACAACAAAAAAGCTTAATCTGTAAAAAGGTTTTAATGAAAAGGGAATTTATAAGTATTCGATTTTCTTTTGGATTTGTATATAAGTACTATAGCACTGTACCATGCCGTAAGTATACTTACAATGTGGGGGCCCTGGAAAGAAAGACCACAAATGGATGAATTATTATGTTTTCGGCTTACTCACGTAATAATTTGACGAGGAACTCGACTAGTTTCAAGCCATGCTAAAAGGCTCAGCATGCTTGCAGCTCTAGCATGACTTGAAACTAGTCGAGTTCCTCGTCAAATTATTACATGAGTAAGCCGAAAACATAATAATTTATTTAGTATGTCTCACGAAAGTTATAATACAAACACAAATGGATGCTCTAGTCTAGCTGAATCGTCAGTTTGGTCAAAGGGCTTAGTACTAGAGATCGAAACAAGAACGTGTTCGGCACTCTGAGGGCCAAGCACGAATAACTATCGCATTCGTATCGTAACAGTATCGAGCGAGTTCAGCGTTCTGATTGGTTGGTTCACTTGAGCCGGCCAATCAGAGCGCCGAACGCGCTCGATACTATTACGTTACGAATGCGATAGTTATTCGTGCTTGGCACTCTGATTGGCCGGCAAAGCAAACGGTATCGTTTCGATTTTGTTAAATGGAAAACAAACTCGTTCTATGCCATCTGGCATCATTATAATTGTGACAGTCCACTGAATATTCCTCAAAATATCAGTAACAATTCGATTCAATCGTCTGTTTGTGTTTAACACCCCTTTCACTACGGCATGATGAAGTGGTATCATAATTTAAACTGGTCAAATGTCGACCCATCAAATATAAAATAATGTATATATATATAGACAGTAGACACAATAGAATTTTTTTATCTAGTGTCTGTTTCAAATTCAGAGGCCTTCAATAAGAGAGAATTAGATTTATTTGCAGCCATTATTATCACATGATAAAATATAACAATAGATGTTTTTGAAAGTGCGATGTCGATCTGGATTGTTTTTTATATTCCTTTACACCTGTGTTTAAAAATATGCCGTGTAAATAAACCTTGCTGATTTTGAAACAGCGGAGTAGTTTGTAATTGTTCTACTTTTTGGGGATTTCAAATTATGGCAGGGATTTAACGGCTTGAATGCACCAATATGAGACAATTGAAAATACATTGTCTTGTGAGGATCCATGTTTAGACGACGGGTTAAAATATATTGTATTGTTTGCATTCTTTTTATATCAACAAAGCTATGTAATGACAGTTTAATAATCCTTCATTCCAAAAGGAATTTGAATTGGAAGTCCAATTTCAATTTCTCAACTCCTTGTTTGCTATCACCTATCTATAGATTTTGTTGTTCTTATTCAAGCTGTTATTCCATAGACAATGTTGATCATCCTCCTTTAATATAATTTTAATTCTTTTTTGTAATAGCTGATTGTAAATTAATTCAATATGTATTATTGTTTCTGTTTCGTGTAAAATGATTTGTTATAGAAAGAAATATAAGTAATTGATATTATTTAAATAAACATCCTAAAAAGCCAAATTGTGTTTCATTATAATTATCTTTAAAAAATAAAAATTGTTTATTAAAAATATTTTATTAAAATTTATAATACAATCAATCATTTACAAGTCAAAAGAAATGTTTAAATGCCTTAAAGTTTTTGGAATATTTCTTTATAATATTATTCTCTATAACTTAATAATTAAATGAAAGTTTACTATATTAAGCTATAATATGATTATCATTACATACTTAATACAATACTGCTTATAAATTAAAAAACATTTCTTATAGATGCACAAGCATCAATATTCTATGCAGTAAACAATATTGGAATTTGTTCATGAACATACAGGTTTGGCTTGGGTAACAAACCTAGGCAAAGGTGTTAACCTTAATAAAAAAGCTAATGTTTACATGTAAGTTGTAATGGCTATAGTAAGGTAAAACTTCTGCATTAGGGACTGTAGTTTATGATAACAGTCATAAGGAAATATTACACTAATCCACCATTAACACAATAGTATTAACTCATTCTATTAGTCATACCCGTTATTATAGGATTTGAATTTAGAATCTCTTCAAAAACTCTTCTGAGCAGATTCTGGCGCGAGCATTCACGGCCAGTTTCATTTCGCTAATTTCTTTATCAATTTCTTCCATGAAATATATCACAAAGTCCACCAGTTTATGTTTGAACATTTGCTCGGTGTGGAAATTTGTTATTAAGAAACTGATATGATATCCGTCCACCGGTTTCCGCCTCAGAACGATAAAGTTTTCTGCTCTCATCATCATAAATCGCATAAACTTTTTGCACAAAATCTTTTCAATCTCATCCGCCTGTTTGATCATAATGCTCACTCTGATAGAGTTTATTGACGATTCGATCAACACTTTCTCGTTTGCATTACGAGAAATCACAACTGGATTCAAGAGAAGCTCTTTGCTTGTTCTAACCTCGACCTCCGGTTTGTTATAACGCTCTACTACTTGCGATGAAAAATGCTCTAAACACATCGCCGCTGTAAGCGTGTGGCGCACTGCTGTTAAATAAGGTTTTAATGTAGCCGACATTATAGCAAAATTTTAATAAAATTTAGAATATTCGTACCACACCTAGCGCGTTTGACAGTTTATTTGACAGATTAGATTTTTTGACAAGTGTATTTGATTACTCATAAACGCACACAGTCATCACAAAAAATGTTGCCAACAACAAAATTTCAAATGAATGAATAGAGTATAAAAAATTAAAAAACATGTTTGAAAATCTTTTCCGTTGTTCACATCCTCTTCGCTATGATATTGTTGCTGCAACAAATACATAAAAGTAATAACCACTGAAAAAGGAATTGTAGCCTTTTATTTAGGTCACCAACACCAATATGTAAAATGATTTTCATTTTAGCTAGACTGTAACTGAAATTATCCAGTTATATTCACGAAAAATATTTACATTCACAAAATTACAATCAAAATTGAAACGATATCAAATAATTTTATGCAATGTATAACTTTACTTATATATGTCGAGAAAAATTGTATAAAAACAGGACAATATTGGAGATTGCAGTAATACACGAAACAAATTCAAACATTTTGTTTCTTAAATATTGAAAGTCGTCACATATCAATATATCAATAAATATCTATCAATACGTCCTATATCAATAACAACACGTGCGAACAGAATAACATAACATATCAATGATAATAATATGTTTTGCATTTTCCTGTATGAATAAATTAAGACTTCGCAAGGTTTTCGTCGACCATAAACATTTGCATGAATTTTCCTTTGTCATTTTTTTCCAACTGGCAATTGAAAACAATGATGGCGGCCGATTGTTAAGTGATGGAAGTGTAACGTTAACGGCATGAGTTTTATTAACAATTCTGTAGTTAAAGTTGTACTAAATACATTTTTAACATTATTAGTGAACATATGACCAATTAGTGTAATAATTATAACTATCAGAAACCATGGCGCGAGAGTTTGACCACCTTTTCAAACTGCTGATTATCGGTGACAGTGGTGAGTGGGCGAGGCCTGTGATGTTATAACTCTACAACCGATATTCGGGGCTTTGGAGCTTAGTAAACGGTGTAATGTTGTTATGTTTTAGGTGTGGGTAAAAGCTGTCTTCTCCTGCGTTTCGCCGACAACACATTCTCCGGTAGTTACATTACTACGATAGGGGTCGATTTCAAAATAAGAACTTTAGAAATAAACGGTGAACGAGTGAAGCTACAGATATGGGATACAGCGGGGCAGGAGAGGTTCAGAACGATAACCAGTACGTACTACAGAGGTACGCACGGCGTCATCGTGGTGTACGATGTCACGAATGGAGAGTCCTTCGCCAATGTCAAGAGATGGCTGCACGAGATCGAACAGAATTGTGATGTTGTTAATAAAGTCTTAGGTGAGTCGAATTTTACCTTAAAAACCCATCATACACCCAGTGTAATCCATAACCTTGTTAATAACCACCTCCACTACCCTATAATGTATCATAAAAGGTATATACACAAGTGATTACAGTTCTAATGACGTTAATTTAAGTAATAATTGGTAATAAATGGTTGAAACAACCATGTTATTGCGATTTCTCAACTCTACCATTCATTTATACCATTGTGTTTGCAAAATAACGACAACAAAAAGAATCTTCTGTCACACTCTACTTATTCTGAGTGGTTTAGTTTATTTTAAGTAATCATTATATAACTATACTGCTTTCTAAAGGCTGTATCAAGCTGTATATTTGAAAAAACAAATGGATTTTCTGATTTAAAATGTTGGTTTTTTTATCTATTGTTTTGTGTTCAATAACATTCTGAGTTAAATCTAATTAGATTTCTTTGTGATGATTTCAGTGTAAAATGCTTAAATTTTAACTTGTGCAAAGTTTAGTAGGCATTATAAAATCTACCCTAATAATACAAACATAAACAATAGTTTTCATAAACAAATAACCTAGAAAAGAGGTTTGATATCTGTTCTAATTCATAGATAACTGAGAACAAAGGAGGTTATAATACTTCCAAGTTCTATTTTGAGTTTTCACTGTCTCACCATCAATGACTAATCTATTGTGATCTTTGTTACAAATGTGTATACACACTGAAAATGGCTGAAATTCCATGAAAAAGGAAGTAAATTACTTCCTGTGTGTGTGAGTGGCTGTTATCTAAAATATGCTGTATCAACATTGTCATTATTGTTATTTTTTTTATCTGTACCTATACTTCAGTTTCTGTATTTTCATTATTTATTTGAAATAATAATTTTAAGTACACCATTATACAATTATTTACTTTACTGTTATTGAAGATTTACAAATCTTCTTATTTCAAATATTTTTATGCAGATTGACTGAATGACTAGGCACAATACCATAATATCTTGCAAACCTTTTAAGCTTAAAAGAGATAGGCAGATGTGCACATCATATACAATGGAAATACAATATCTACTTTGAACCAGTTATAATTATAAGTCTCATGTATAACATCTTGTATGTAGAAAATTGCGAGTATAATGTGTTTTATACCGGGAGCCGGTGTTTCAACAGATAAAGGATAAGAGGGTTCAGCCTGTATTATTTTATTTATAGAAAAAGTGAGATATCATTTATTCAGTAGGTATTCATGATGTTTTAGAGGACCCGGTGCCTCCATACAGGCGTTAAGGGTCACGATAATTATTAGCAAAACTAAATTATATTATTTATTTTTTCCAGTTGGTAACAAGAATGATTGTCCGTCAAGAAAAGTAGTAGTGACAGAGGATGCGCAGAGGTTCGCCAATCAGATGAACATACCGCTATTCGAGACAAGTGCAAAGGAGAACATTAATGTAGAGGAAATGTTTCTCACTATCACTAAAATGGTAAGTATATTTACATTAGGGCTAATACACAAAACTGCGACGCGACGTCGCATCGTAAGAACTTCCGAATTGATTCGCATCGTGCATCAAAATCCTATCTTCCTGAAATCTTCTTTGTTTCTTTTTTCTGTATCTCCTAAGCAATAACAGAAGTGCACACTTCTTTTTACGATCCATGTCACGACCTAGTTTTCAATTTAAAATACGTTTATTACGGTTGACGGTCGTCGAAGGAATGGTCACCCTGGGAGACACCTTGTCGCACGAAATCGCATCGCAGCAATTCGCATCTTATATTTTGCGTTACGAATTCGCATCGCATCGCAGTTTTGTGTACGAGCCCTTAATACCATAATAACACTATAATTTACAAACTACAACTTAGATATTAAAAATGTTTTAGAGTTTCTTCTTGGCATAGTCTGATAGAAATTTTTTGAAAATTGACTGCACATTCGGCGCACTGGCTGGGCAACTGGCTGCCGCGCAACGTGTCGTGGATTCGATTCCCGCACGGAACAACTCTTTATATGATCCACAGAATGTAGTTCCGGGTCTGGGTGTCACGTGTATGTAAAAATTGTATGTTTGTAAAAGCACCTACGACACAGGAGGACATCCTGGTGTGGGGCAATGTTAAAAAAAATGTAACTTAAACTGTCAAACACCGCGAGGACACCGGTGACCGCAACCTATTGTTCTTTAATTGTGTCTATAATGATGGTACTCAAAGGGTTAATTTTAAATGTAGCCCCATGTTGTCACGTAATTTCGTTTCAAAGGTTAAAGTTCTATTTGGTAGCCTATTAACAAAAATAATACCATGGGACAATGGCTTGCCTTATGTGGTTGTGTGTGAATGTACATTGTGCTGTAAATAGGTACATAAATTAGGTAAACTCAGAAAGTTTTGTTCAAATAATAGCAGGGTTTACCTCAATGTCCCTGAATTTTAGTTATAAGTTTCCTAATGCAACTTTATTAATGGTTTACAAAGTCCTACAATGAAACTATTAGCCACAAAGCCTCCCAATGGCTACCAATCTTATCACTGGTTAGATATTAAATTCAATATAAATGCCTTTTCTCTTTCTTACATAACGTAACAACATAACATCACGCCTTTTATCCTCGAAGGGGTAGGCAGAGGTGCACATTATGCCACTGTACAATGTAACACCCATTTTTTACTATTTATGTTATGAGTCCCATGTAATAGGGGGTGAGCCTTTTGCCTTATACCGGGCACAATTCCAGACTCCGTGCTACTACTGAGATTTTTTTTAAAAACCCATTAATACTTTGCCCGACCCGGGAATCGAACCCGAGACCCCTTGCCCGGCAGTCGCACTTGCGACCACTCTGCCAATGAGGCTGTCTCTTTCTTAATAATCTTAAGTTTTGCTGTGCTGTACCTACCAAGGTATTTTCTACCACCTGTCTGTGTACATTATTACTTGTTTACTTGTTCCTTAAAAAGGTAGCGACAAAGTTTAAATGTACTTTTTCATACCGGAATTTTTAGTCACACTTCTGTGGTGCTTGACAACTGAGTTTCTCCCAATTGTAGTCTCTTTTTGTGCCCCTTCTTTAGGCTTAATTCATTCTGTCTCCGTTTTTATTCCTCTTATAAAATCTTCCGATTTATTTCGTTGGGGACCAAGCCAGTTATTCATGTCCCTGGGACGCGCTGGACTTCAGTGTTTCGGTGTTTTCATGGTTGTGTCTAATGTAGATCTTGGCTTCAAGAGTTGCAGTGGTTTTGGGAGGGTGTGGTGAGCTAGACACAATTGTATTTTCGCATTTTAAACCGATAATATTTTTTCTTATTTGTGCAAATAAACCATGATTGATCAGAGGTTGTAAATTATCAGTATACTCATAGAGGTCTCAAAACAAATAAATAACCTTTGTTTTTATATTTTCCAGGTACTAAAATCGAAGCTCGACATGAAGGAGAGGCAAAATGTTACAAAAGACACGGTACATCTAAAGAATAATATCAAAACCAAAAAGAAATGTTGCTAGTGGTATATGCACCTCACTGTGCCACGGACAATGTTCTCGATGCTCAAATATGGAGAGATTAGTTGAACGACCTAGCAGGTTGTCTGCAACACCCGTTATTTTCATTTTATGAAGGTGAAGCTTTATAGTTTGATATTAGGATTATAAAGGGACACTGCAGGCAATGGGTCACAGATCTTTTCACCGTAAAATTAGACCTGAAACAAAGAATAACGTTCTTTTCAAACTCAAACTGATAACAATGCGTAATTAACAATTTGATAAAATTTTAAAATGAGGCTTTATATGCAATAATATTGTCTATGGTAAATGAGAATATCTGTTGTCTGTGGTCCCCTTCCATTTGAAATTATGCACTTATATTGTTAGGTGGTGCTAATTTAATATTGATATTAATACAATGAGACATGTGTGTTTATTTAGGTTACAGCAATAGTTCTGTGAAAATTGCATTTGTATGAGTACATATCTTATAATACATGATTGTACACTACTAATAAGTGCTTGCCCAAGGACAGAACGAAACCAATTACAATAACTCAATTAGAAACCGACCAATATGTACCTAGTTCATACAAAACTTGCTAGGTTGAACTATCTCAAGAGCATGTACATACTATGGATTTATTTACTCCAAAAATTATTAGAATATAACGAATGCCTAGTTAATGTATGAGTGTAATCTAATTATCAAAATTTATGTGATGGTTCGACGAATGTTTAGTATAAGGAAGTATACCATTAAATGTTATTTTTTATTAAATGATAATCATTGAATAGTGAGTCGTTGATCGCTTTGACGGCTCTCATCACGCATTAAGAAGCTAAAGGTAACATGAGAAACGTCTAGAAAATTCGATTGGTGAAGATATTTGAAATTACTGTTTTGTTGTAGTTTTGTAGCTAGCTCTATATGAATGCGTGGTTCCGATTCTATGGCCAACGTGTGGCGTTTGTAAACTTTAGATACATTAGACCAAATAGGCAATGTTGGTCGCCAAAGTTTGCGCATAGACGCCGAATGGCACGAGACCACCTATGTAGGTAAAGAAAATTCATGAGAGAATATTTGTGGCTACAAATTACTGAAGTCAAAGTCAAGGAAATTATGAAATTGGTTTAAAACATGTTTTAAAAGTATTAGTTCTTATGAAAAATTACCGGCAACTTGAAACCGCGTTTTCGATAGACCGACATTACCCGTAAAAGTTGAATCCAGTGTATTTTCATTGAGATATTTATATTTTTTTAATTATTTTAATATTGGCATAGTGTTTACAGTATTCTGTATGAAATTGAAATTCCAAATTAATTTATTTTTTAACTCTTAGGAGATATTATTTACAATGAAAAGTTGTGTTTCTGCGTATCTTTTGAATTGAAGTAAATACGGAATTTGGGATGCGGAATTACCGTCAGAAAACGTGAAAATTAAGTAGCATATTGAAATTAGCATTTTAAAATTCCATTTTTGATTTTGTACAATTTAAATTTTGAATTGATTGCATTTGGCTTACGATTAAAGTAAGTTATCCCTAAACTATCTATACATATCAGAATGTGAGATATAACAACTAGGGAATGGAGCGGCGTAAGTAACAAGTACGTTTAAAAATAGTACACAAATAAAGTGACAATAGTTAGAGCCTAAACAGGAACAATTTTTAAAGTCCATTTATATTTTGTAGGGAGAAAAAATGGAATTCTATGTTCAAAATAGTCCGTTGGTTAAAGATGCAGACATATTACCGCGCTATTACAGTCGATAGTATGACTGCACCTTTAACTATATAGTTCTGTTGTATTTGCGATAAAGGTTTATAGTAAGGAGTATTTTTGCAGGTGTTACCTAGTTTATGGATAGCTTTCAGTCTAATTGCAATTTGGTTACATAATTATCTTCCCTTTTATTGCAAGTCACATCATCTTTCAATGCAAAAATTATCATAAATTGTAACTAATTTATTACTTTCAAAAAACATCACTATAAATTGTGTCATTGATTTGCGCATGGAAAATATCGCAATAACTATCTTGTAATGTGTTTGTCGTCTTATATGGAGTTTCGAATTAGACAATATTATAAAACCATTTAATTTTAAATGTACCGCTTACTAAAAATGCGTCGGATTGTGTCTGTATTGTCTTCCCTAATAAAACCCCGTCTAATAATTATCTTGTCCTCACCTCGAGCCGTTTTCGACACATTTTTATAAGCCTGTGTATCTCAAAATATAGTTTTAGCTTTGGACTGAACTTTATTTTACAGCAGTATATAATATCTTATGGCATTTTTTACTTTAAGATTTTACAGTATGAAACCCCTATAGTTTGTGAGCTAATTTTACTATACTTGTGTAATTTGAGCAAAAGTGGCTTATACTACATCTGAGTTCTTGTTAGAATGAGGCAACATTACATAAATCTCGAATAATGTAAACGTTAATTATTGTGTCGGTTAGGCTACTTTTGCTGTGGCAGTTTGCCAAAAGACTTGCTCGATTTTGACGTTACGATCAACGCCTAACAGCTACAAAGTAAATGTAATTCCATAACCAAAATCTAACAAGTCTGGAAGCATCTTTATACTGGACTTGGAAATCTTTTATCACAGTGTGCAAAACCAAAAGTGAATTGTTTAGCTGACAATCATTCCGTACACGACGTTTGTACAATAATTTATGACGGTTTAATTAATTATGCGTGAACTGTAACGCGTCATTACTCATTTATTATTTATGGAAAGTATTGTTCATGAGTCATCATTTTGGTTTAATACATAGTTGTAAATATATCCCCTATTTTCATCATAATAATTATGTGTTTTATTATCCTCGATGTAGTATGGTTTGGTGGTCAAATTATCTTATACCTTAGCAGGAAGGAAATTATAAAAACAACATTAGGGAGAGACCCTTTAATTTACCAGTACAGAATAACCAGTTATAATTATTTGGTGTGACATGCATTTATATGACAATTTGTTTTACGCCTATATGAACTGAAAAAACAGCAGTTGGAATGACTCAGTTTTTGGGATATCAAAACATTATCTGGTGGTAAGTAATCGGCGCTGCTCATGGAAACACTTGTTATTAGAGTAGTCACAAGTGCGTTGCGTACCTTCTAAAAAGAGATTGAGCCTTCGATATCCTCACTGTACTCGACCACATACAACGCAAGCGGTATTTCATGACGACTTTTTGTGAGCTAAAGTAGTATCCCTCCAGTGAAGACATGAATACTTGTGAGACGTTTTCATATAGAACATACATACATACATATCGCATCAAGCGTATCGCCCATTGGGATAGACAGAGATGCATTCGACGTCAAATGATACGATTTAATTTTGGCATACCTCATTCGCTACATCGACATTCATCAATTTCTATTCATAATCGATCGACTGAGGGTCAATAGGTCCATGAGTAGGTAGACTGAGGTCATAGAGAATATTCACCTAGCAATCAATCTTCATGGTGAAGTAACCCAATTTTATTTCTTTTCTTTTTTCTAAGTGCGACATGTGCCAATTTCTTTTGTTTTCTTGTAATGAATGTGCTACAAATTCCTAATTCCAATAAATTTTGAATAACAGGAGTATTTTTGTGTTCAAAAAGAACTCAGAGGAAGGATATCAATTATTACGGAGCAAGATGTGTCAGTATCAGAAGCGGCCAATCGGTGTAAGCAGTACAAGGTGAGGGTGAGAGGATTCTCCACTTAATATTAATCGGCCAAGGTTAACGTTGATCTGTAGATAGATGGGAACAGTGTTATCTTAGTCTCTTGATGCAGAAATTGCGTTATTACGCATATCCGGTCAGTCAGTCGGTCGGTTAGAGTGACTGATTGTAGTAGGTACTGATAGTTCAGACATGTAGTGTTACCGAAACTTGTTGCAGTAAATTGGTACATAAGCAATTTACCTGATAGATAAGGCCAATCACTTCTTCAAGTACTAAGTTATTATGAAATCAAAACGACGAAATACAAAAATGTTGACTTGTTTTGAAGTAGGTAGATAGGTTCATAAATATTAGTCTAGAAATCTTATGATATACTCGACGGTGGTGAATGAAATACAAAAACCTAGTTTATTCTATTACACTTGGTTTATTTTAAGCCAAGAGCCCTTTGTTCCCTCTAAAAACTTTTCTTATTATGCTGATGCAAAAATAGTCTTTGGTTCAATAACCTGAAAATGTTAGTAGTCAAGCTCGAGGGGATTTTGACAGCTAAGGAAAAAAAAATACTTTGTAGTCTTTGTCTGCCTGTGGTACATTTTTGGTCAGTTCGACAAGAAAAGCGATTTTCTTGAATTTTCCTCCACAATGTCTGCGTGGACCACCCTAAACCGTGTTGTGTTCAAGCGAACCTCCACCTTCTTCCTGGCTGCAGCTGCAGGCACTTTCTTCTTCGAAAGAACCTTCGATGTTGCCTCAGTTGCTCTTTTCGAGAGCATAAACAAGGGAGTGAGTAATGTTATGTAATTTTCTTTGAACCTCTTTACCGAGTTGTTGGTCTATAGTTAATAGTTTTAAATTGTTAATATTCCTTTTAATTCATAAAGACAACAATTAAGTTCTCTGAACCGACATTTACTGTAATATTTAAAATAACCTCAATCTTATCATTTGATGTTTTTGGAATCTAGGTTTACTCGAATTTTTATTAAATTTATTTTGTAGTAAATTCAGTTAGTTCTAAGTTTGAATAAGATTCTCCAAATACACCACTTTATTTCACAAAGCTTTGAAATCAAAATCAGCTGTTATTTTTTTCTAAACAGAAATTTCAAATCAAGTTTCAAGGCTGCCAAAATGAATGATATTAATTTTGCATTTTCATTAAAAAGATATAGTTAATTCTGTAAGTAATTTATTTTAAGAGAACTAACACATTTTCAATCTTTACCTTAAAACCGTTAAGAAAATATTTTAGAATCAAGAAGATTCTAAAAGGGTAACTATTAATATATGAGTAATTGCTATGGATACTATATAGGCCGATTTTACGAAAATACTGTAAATACTAGGTAGTGAGTAAACATTGTTATAATAACAATAATTTTTACTAAAAAAAGTTTGGCTACAATGCATTAAAAATAAAATGTGTACTTTAGCGAATTCAGCCACTTTTGATCAATCACTAACCACTTTTGAATTAACTTAAAATATCAAAGTATATGTAAATACTCATGTAAATGAATATACTGAGAAACGCAAATTTCAAGTTGCGATGTTCATGACAACTTGTTGTCATGAACATCGTGCAAAGTCACAACAATGTCGCACAGACATACTACAATTTAGTTAATTACTAAAATTGCAGGTTACTCATGTGAGTATACTGAGAAAAGGGTATGCGGTTCACGCACGCTGTTCATGAGGAAGAACCCCTCTGTGCTTCTAAACTAGTAGAGCTTTTCTCAGTATATTCACGTGAGTAACCTGCGATTTTAGTTAATAATGTCGTACAGCCTACTGATTGCTTTTCTCAGGTATATTTATGTGAGTAACTCGTAATTTTATTTCATTCAGTATGCCTCATGATAGTTATTATAAAAACAAACCAGTTTTGAATCCCAGGTTTGTACTGAAGAAAAATTTCTATCAAATAGGTTCCAAGCCACAGCATTTATTTCAATTAAACCATGATTTGGTACTTTTGAAATGTCAACAAATACTTACCATTATTTTTCTCCTTTTCAGAAACTATGGAAGGACATCAAACACAAATACGAGTAATGGAGTGAAACTACACAAATATTATCAGGATTTAATTTATTAGATAATTGTTAATTTTACTTGATTAAACTGATTATGTCAAGTTACATTTGCTTTCATTTAATTCAAAAAGATGACTAGATTACCAAATAGTGGATTACAATTACTTGTTTATAAATCTCAATTATCATTGCACCAAAATACATCTGTCATAGATACAATTTATGTTCTAATCATATTTTATTCAAGTTAAAAAATACTTCACAAGCATTATTTACATTATTCATTAAAACTTAAACAATATTCTGATCTAAATATTCGAAACAAGTTGATTACTTTTTTATAACAAAAGTTAAATATTCACCAATACATTCCTATCTTACCTACTAAATAAACTTATTTACATAATTTAGAATATATTCCTTTTTCATTTTATTTCATGTTCAATCACACATACTTAACATAAAAAACATAAACATGCTTTTTATCCCCGAAGGGGTGGGCAGAGGTGCATATTACGGCACTTGAATGCCACTGTACAATGTAACACCCATTTTTCATTATTTATGCTATGAGGCCCATGTAATAGGGGATGAGCCTATTGCCATATATCGGACACAATTCCAGACTCCGTGACTACCTACTGGGAAATACTTGAAAAACCCAGTAATACTTTGCCCGACCCGGGAATCGAATCCTGACAATGAGGAAAGTAATGGCAGTCAGAGGCCTTAGTACGAGTTTTTAAACGAGTAATTGAAACGAGACCGCGTTCTGCGCTCTGATTGGCCGGCTCAATGAACCAACCAATCAGAGGCCTTAGTACGAGTTCGTTTTACGTTTAAAGTAATCGTAACGAGACCGCGTTCGGCGCTGTGATTGGCCGGTGCCAATGAACCAACGATTCAAAGTACCGAACGCCTAACTCGTTTTGATTACTTTAAAAGTAAAATAAATTCGCACTAAGCCTCGGACCTTTACAAAACTATAAGACTTCACTTATCATATTTCGAAAGAAAGATTTCAATTGAAACATCAATCACATAATACAGAATTATTTGGAAGATTGAAATAAGATTAGATACCTATTTTAACAATAGGGTTTCCTTAGCGATAATATGAGATGACCATTAACCCATTTGGGACCAAATGCAAACTACTCATAATTTAATAAAAAAAACTTTATTAACTCAATAATATGACGCCCACAAACTAATATCAGCAAAAAAAATTCAAAAAATATATTTAGAAGTATTAAAAAAAATGCCGTCCTTGATTGGGGACAATGGGCTCATGTGTAGTACTTTTCGAAGTAGTAACTGTTTTCGACACATAAGGTTCTAACGTATTATTTGCATTGATATCACAGTTTTTTTTATGATGAACTGCGTGTCGTAACAGATATTAACTAAATCTCTGCGGAAAATGTCTAAATCAATTTGATGTGACGCGCCTATATTTGTTTTGAGGGTAAAAATCATGCATTGCGTTTTCCACCTGGGGAACTCTTACTGGCTAAAAACCAACACGTTCCTAATTCTGCTTCAAGCCGAAGCCCCGGTGACCCACCAGGTTATTCATAGTAGTCGGGCATCTGTCCCGCTGAGCCATCTCGATCTAAGGCGGTCTGACCTGCACTTTGAAGCACGCGCGTAACGCCACGCACCTTACAGGTACAGGTCTGGTTCTGGGCGGCGATCTGTTCTTGCTACTATGACTGCTTCGCAGAAAGAGATGTTTTCCAGTTCCCCTCGCTCCGCACCACAGCCAGAACCTAAGCTGGACGTGGAAGATTATCGTCGTCGATCACTTCCCTGAAGACACGGCGGTGGTCAACGTATACAGGGCATAATGCTACTCTATACTCTGGGTGGACTTCGCTGTGACGATACCAGAATACAGCTGGAGGAAATGCCCCCTACTGCTGAATTCTGATATCGGATGCGACGCTGGTACTGTAGGTGGACTTTTGCATCTTCGGTCTTGATGCCCATCAGATTTTAGAATATGAACGTGTAAAGATATGGCGGAATTGGTGATGCTCTTCATGAATTAGCGTCTGTTGTCACCAAGTATTAGCTATAACTAAGTTTAGCCTATAGGTGACCTTTATAAATTGGAAAACAAAATACAAATCAGGTATAAATGTTTTAAAAATATACTACAGATGTGCCCATTGTCCCCATACGGGGACACCATAATTTTTTCTAACTTTCCCCTAAGCGGAATTAAAAGTATAAGGATATTCTTCAATATTGTTTTAATTGACACTATAAGCAAGCAATAATCACAAAAAAGTTTTATAAATCTTCATAATAACGTACTACAAAACGCCTCTGCTTTCGATAATACAGTGAAACTTGGTTAAGTGGGACCTGGATAAGTGAGAAACCTCCATAACTGGAACTCATGCTGAGGTCCCAACACTTTGGCACTGAATAACCTCTGTTAGTGGGACGAGGTAAACCTCTATATCTGGGATTTGTTCTTTCGATTTATCATCATAGTTACCTCTATAACTGAGACAGCGAGTAAATTTTATATGCATAAACCTCTGTAACTGAGATAACATTGTTTATTTACTCATTCTTATTCTACCCACAAATTCCACACGTAATTCCAAGTCCACCTCTATTAATGGAACCCTCTGTAAATGAGACACATATTTATTTATACCTGTATATCTGAGACACTGGGTAAGTGGAATACCTCTATAAGTGAAACGACATTGCAGGTCCCTTGATGTCTCACTTAACCAGGTTTCACTGTAATTCCCATTTCACTTCCTCTTGATAAAATTGACAATATGACCCCTTTTTTGTAGCAATTTGTCAAAAGTTCTAATAATTTTAGGAAAGTACACTACTCCTGATTATAAATACCCATGAAATGTGAAGATAGCTAAAATAATTAATAACCAGCGGGTAAAAGAAAACTTGTCCCCATATGGGGACGGCGGATCCAAATGGGTTAATTAGCACCATTAATAATTAATGACCATTTTCACCAACAACCCCGAAACTAAAAGTAACTTAGTGTGACATAGCACATAAACAAACCGCTTGTTTATACTGTTAGGTGTCACTTATAGGACGGTGAAAACTAAAATATCGTTAAGAGTTACCTCTATAGTTTAGAGGTTCCTTAAAATTGACTGAGGTTGGTGAAGACTTGATTTCGTCTCGCTGCGTCAGTCACTCTCGCCCTCTTTCTTTAGTAAAATTATTATCAGCTTACTAAATATTACCTAGATAGAATTAAGGGATGATGGCAGGGTATGAAAATTAAATATCGAATTAGTCCAGGGTAGCAGCACGACAGTCGCCACGTTGTGTGTCGCGGAATGCTGCTCATGAATATGAGCCTCTAGCGTCAGTTAGATATTGAAAAAAATATTAGACACACATTTTTTATTTTGTCGTATAAGAAAACAATACTTAAAACGAATCAAAGTTTAGGAGTGGGAGGTAGCTACGACATTTTAGAGTATAAATCGTACTCAAAAGTGACGTCATGTGCTATTTCAAATCAATATATCTTCGAAACTTCGTTTCCGTAAGAAAATACGTGTCTAATGTTTTAAGATAATCTACCAGACGGACATTACAAAAAAAAAAAGTCATATACGCTATTCTTGCCTCACATACATTTTCCCATTTCATAGAACTCGTACAAACACAGTAATAAACGTTACATCTTATATAAATTGATAATGTTCATGCGTACAGATATTAAGGGCTACGCTCGAGCTCGAAACCGGTCGGGCATCTCGGTAATGCAATGATGTGATCGCCGCATGATCATTATCTAATTTAGTGTTTCTTATGTTAAAAATTAAAGTTATTATACAAAAATAATTACAAACTAATTCATTGGTTAGCTTGGATCACTAGTTATATCTTATAATATACTTTATGTATTTATTTCGTTAACCCCCAAATACTGAAAGGCTACTCAATTTTAAATTGTACCTACTTAAATATCGCGCCATCTCTGTCTTTTACAAAGAATTGGGTACTTGCCAACTAGTCAAATTCAATACTTTTCTCGAATTGTCAAAAAAAAAACGACAGTTTTCTATGAGTTTTGTACGAGTTTGTGTATTGTGACGTTACGTTTTTTAACGTATTGTATTGAACAGTCGAAATCATTTATTTTTGATTAAGGATAAGGACAGAACTATTTATAGCGCGACTTAAAATCGAGTGACGTTTGAGAATTAAAATAAGAGTTTCTGTATCAATCTTTACTTTCTTACCTATGTACCAAATAATTTAATTTAATAATTACATCCTAAAATATATGGAGCCGTTCAAGTATTACGTAAGCACCATGTGAGGGTGGGGGGCTCTGTTTTGCTTATTTTGAATGATATGGAGGTAGAGAGTCTTTTTTTTAAGGGGGGAAAATCATCGAATGACTTCTCCCGCCTGGGTGAGGCTGAAGGGAGTGTCAGTAAGAGTACTGACTAAAAACCACCCCGTTCCTTATCCTGCACGTCGAGCCGGAGCCCCGGTAACCCGTTAGGTTCTTAGGGAGTCTAGATGATGATTACGTCATCGGTAGTTATTTACTTATTCACACGAATGGCAATGCTCATATTGAAATTTTAAATTATAAGCAAAGACCGACAAAGAACTAGACGTTATGAACAATATTAAAATTACAATATAAAACAGATATAATTTAAAATGTTTACGTAAGCAAAGGGGGAGGGGGTAAGATCTTTGCTTATTTTTGCTAACAAACGCGTGGGGCGCGTGGGGGGGGGGGGGTAATAATTGTAAAAAATCTGCTTACGTAATATTTGAACGGCCCCTATTACATAAATATAATACTACGCTATATAAAGAGATAGATCATTTCTATTTATTTTTCGAGGAGAAATCGATTTCTCTTTCTCTTATAAATCGATATTATAAGAGACTAATCGATTTATTAGAGATTCTATATACTTTTAATACATTGAAATATTATAAAGTTTATTTAGTTGTTATTCGATGTTTGATAGAGGTAGGTTATGTTAGACAATGTGTTATAAACCGTATAATTAAAACGTTAAAGTAGAATTTTAAATGTACAGCTTAAAGCTGGTTTATAGTCCCATATATCGTGATGGTTATTGAAATTTCAACCCTGACGATATAGAAATAAAGGCAGTTTACATAAGTATACTTTTAAAGTAGTTATAGAGTTGGCACTTACTGCCATTATGTTCTGGCGACATGATTGGTTTACTAGAATAATTCAGTTAAAATGAAATTTAAAAGAATAGAAATAGAATTATAGAATTCTTTTTGTTTTTTTTTTTATATTTGATAGGCCGACGTTTGCCCACTATCTCGCCTGGTAAGCGATGATGCGGTCTAAAATGGAGCACGTCGTACCATATACTTCTCAGGAAACACAGACTCTGGAAAATAATTCCACTAAATCTTTACACTAACTATGTTTAGCTTTCATCACAATTATACAAGTACACCAGTCAAGAGCACATGTTAATATAATATTATTAGTTATTGCCCGCGACTTCGTCCGCGTAGAATATGATTCCTATTTTATCCCATGGAAACATTTAATCGGGATAAAAAGTATTCTATCACCTAAGTCAGCCCATACCCTGCCTGTATACCAAATTTCATCAAAATCCGTTCAGCAGTTTCAGCGTGATTGACGGACAAACATCTAAACAAAGAAACTTTCAGATATAGAATATTATAGTGTGATTATATTAATTACCATTTAAGACTTTCCACATCGGAATCTGGCGTAGAACTCTGGATCATCAGTGAGTGTATCTGCGGACGACGATGATGGCAAGGACCTGGGTTGGACCGGGAGGGGGGCGTCGAAGTTTGGTTCGTCAGCCAACGCCCATATTATATCCACTAGGAGTGGCTGTGCTAGGTTTTTGATAGCGTCCTGTCGCGCGACCTGTGGAAAGAAAATGAGTTTTAAATATCCATTGACTTCGAAATCAGATAAACCTATTTTTTTCCTCTATAGCTATAGGGAGGGACAATATGCAATCCAGGCGTCTTTAATTGTACAAAATGTTTTACAGTTATTTATAATCAAACAAACACGATAGAACAATAAAAAAAAAACAAATTGGAAGTAAAATGAGCGATCTTGTTTCATTATAGAGTGAGTATGAATTGTCAATATTTGTTTCTCAAATTCCGATTGAAGTAGCTTTAATAGTGACGACATAGGGTCTAAACAGACTCTTCGACGGACACGTTTGGTCATGACTGCAATAGAACTACAATCGCACTGCACGTTTGGTTTACAATCGTTTGGTCTTGAATGGAGTAGAACTAAAATCGGACTGCACGTTTGGTCATGACTGCAATAGAACTACAATCGCACTGCACGTTTGGTTTACAATCGTTTGGTCTTGAATGGAGTAGAACTAAAATCGGACTGCACGTTTGGTCATGACTGCAATAGAACTACAATCGGACTGCACGTTTGGTTTACAATCGTTTGGTCATGAATGGAGTAGAACCACAATCGGACTGCACGTTTGGTTTACAATCGTTTGGTCATGAATGGAGTAGAACCACAATCGGACTGCACGTTTGGTCATGACTGCAATAGAACTACAATCGCACTGCACGTTTGATTTACAAACATTTGGTCAGGAATGGAGTAGAACCACAATCGGACTGCACGTTTGGTTTACAATCGTTTGGTCTTGAATGGAGTAGAACTAAAATCGGACTGCACGTTTGGTCATGACTGCAATAGAACTACAATCGGACTGCACGTTTGGTTTACAATCGTTTGGTCATGAATGGAGTAGAACCACAATCGGACTGCACGTTTGGTTTACAATCGTTTGGTCATGAATGGAGTAGAACCACAATCGGACTGCACGTTTGGTCATGACTGCAATAGAACTACAATCGCACTGCACGTTTGATTTACAAACATTTGGTCAGGAATGGAGTAGAACTACAATCGGACTGCACGTTTGGTTTACAATCGTTTGGTCAGGAATGGAGTAGAACTACAATCGGACTGCACGTTTGGTTTATAATCGTTTTGTCACGACTGGAGTAGAACTACAATCGGACTGCACGTTTGGTTTACAATCGTTTGGTCATGAATGGAGTAGAACTACAATATGACTGCACGTTTGGTTTACAATCGTTTGGTCATGAATGGAGTAGAACTACAATCGGACTGCACGTTTGGTTTCCAATCGTTTGGTCATGACTGGAGAAGAACTACAATCGGAGTGCACGTTTGCTCATGACTGCAATGGAACTACAATCGGAGTGCACGTTTGGTTTACAATCGTTTGGTCACGACTGGAGTAGAACTACAATCGGACTGCACGTTTGGATTCCAATCGTTTGGTCATGACTGGAGTAGAACTACAATCGGAGTGCACGTTTGGTTTCCAATCGTTTGGTCATGACTGCAATAGAACTACAATCGGACTGCACGTTTGGTTTACACTCGTTTGGTCACGACTGGAGTAGAACTACAATCGGACTGTACGTTTGGTTTACAATCGTTTGGTCATGAATGGAGTAGAACTACAATCGGACTGCACGTTTGGTTTACACTCGTTTGGTCACGACTGGAGTAGAACTACAATCGGACTGTACGTTTGGTTTACACTCGTTTGGTCATGACTGCAGTAGAACTGCAATCGGACTGCACGTTTGGTTTACAATCGTTTGGTCATGACTGCAGTAGAACTACAATCGGACTGCACGTTTGGTTTACAATCGTTTGGTCATGACTGGAGTAGAACTACAATCGGACTGCACGTTTGGTTTACAATCGTTTGGTCACGACTGCAGTAGAACTACAATCGGACTGCACGTTTGGTTTATAATCGTTTGGTCATGACTGGAGTAGAACTACAATCGGACTGCACGTTTGGTTTACAATCGTTTGGTCGTAACTGTAATAGAACTACAAACGGACTGCATGTTTGGTTTCCAATCGTTTGGTCATGATTGGAGTAGAACTACAATCGGACTGCACGTTTGGTTTACAGTTCAATTGCAGTTGTGACACGACTATTCAAACTATATCCGATTGCAGTTAAAATGCGGTCCGTCTAATTAGAGCCTTATCAAGCAATTTTCACCATTTTTAACAACATTGTGCTCTTCTTCTCGCTTGCTCGTTCTTCTCCATAGGAATCTACACTTTGGAACGATCAAATAGCTTCACTAGAGGACTGACCTACAGATTGACATTTTTTCTTATTATTTAATATTTAAATATTTTGTTTTGACGTTCAAAAGTGCCTTACTGGTCTAATTGAAATAAATGATTTTGACTTTGACTTTGACATAAATATAATGGTGGATTCAAAAGATTGAAAATGACAAAATGTCAGTGTGAGATACAACGCACATTGACATTTTGTCCACAGTTGAGCTAAGTCTCATTATTTTCAGGTGATGACCTATGATCTCTAAATTGCCACGTGATTTATAGTTATGTAGATTACCAGGAGAATGTATAACGTGCTACTATTAACTGACCAATCCAAAATGGTGGACGATCATCTTGAGCGCGTACTCCTTGATGTCAGTAGCCCGCATGCGGTCTGCGGCCTGTAGTATGGCGAGGACGTTCTCCGGGGACACGTTACTCTGCAGGTTGTGCTTGCAGAATACTTGGAGACGGTTGTTTGTGAACCCTGAGAAAAAATATTTAAATTATTTAATTTTTTTTAGATTATTGTGTTTAGATTATCTAGTTTAAGGGCGGGAGAGCCATGCTTCGGCGCGAATAAGTCGCCTCGACCGGAATGATACCACGGCCTCACAGAAAACCGACGTGAAACAACGCTTGTGTTGTGTTTCGTCGTGTGAGCGAGGTTACTGGAGTCCCAATTACCCCTTCCCCAGTCTCCCCAATCCCCGAATCCTCCACAATCCTCAAATTTCCAATTCCCAATAGGTCGGTAACGCACTTGTAACGCCTTAGTGTTTCAGGTGTCTATGGGCGACGCCGGTTGCTTACCATGATCAGTATGGCCGTTTACCGGCTCAGGAAAAAAGGAAGTTCTCAGGTTGACCTGTGTGTATGTATGTATGAATGTATGCGACTATATCGCGATCGGCTGAACCGGAATTAAAAAAACCAAGTCAATGGTAATGAGAAAACTATTATACGTTGTAGGTATTTCTATAATCATGTAAGGAACTTACCGTAATATATAGGAGCTTGGAATAGATACAGCGAGTCTTCAGTGGGCATATTGGTGTCTCCGTAGTAAATGTACCGCAGCAGGGAATCGAACGCCTCTTCTGATGGCACCGTGTCGCAGATTTGTATCTAAATAGTGAGGAAAAAAGAAATGAATGAAATTTGTGTCTGATATGATTGGTTTATGATATGTTGCGGTTTGACTTTCAACTTGTTAGTTAATGTGTTAAATTAGTTATAGTCTATATACATTGACGATATTGTCGTGCGGCGAGAAGGAGCGGAACATGGCCTCGAAGTAGGCGGCGCGCGCGGCGAGCACGGAGCGGTGCGCGGGGCGGGCCGCGCTGCCCACGCGGAGCCGGACGTCCGACAGCGAGCTATAGTGTACATACATTGACGATATTGTCGTGCGGCGAGAAGGAGCGGAACATGGCCTCGAAGTAGGCGGCGCGCGCGGCGAGCACGGAGCGGTGCGCGGGGCGGGCCGCGCTGCCCACGCGGAGCCGGACGTCCGACAGCGAGCTATAGTGTACATACATTGACGATATTGTCGTGCGGCGAGAAGGAGCGGAACATGGCCTCGAAGTAGGCGGCGCGCGCGGCGAGCACGGAGCGGTGCGCGGGGCGGGCCGCGCTGCCCACGCGGAGCCGGACGTCCGACAGCGAGCCGCCGCCGCCCAGCAGCACGCACATGTCCTGCTCTAAAGTTGTGCCTGGAAATATACATCAATATACTATTTAATCCCGATAAATGTCTAGACTAACAAGCAATGTCTAGATTGATTGCCTCGTTGGCCGAATCGTCGCAATTGCGATTGCCAGACCAGGGATCTCGGTTTTTTAAAAAGTTCTCGATGTAGCACAGAGTCTGGAATTGTGCACGGTATATGGCAATAGGCTCACCCCGTATTACATGGGACTCATAACGTAAATACTGAAAAGTGGGTGTTACATTGTACAGTGCCATAATTTGCACCTCTGCCTACCCCTTCGGTGATAAAAGGCGTGATGTTTTGTTACTAACAAGAAGTATTGTTAATATTAATTTATATAAAGATGTCCTTAACACGTTAAACGCCATGGGGGTCACCGGTGACCGACGTTAGCGGAAGATTTGCCTCCAACAAGTTTTTATTGGCAATGAAAGGCAAAGTTGTAAAAAAATATTTGATAGGTTCAAATATTTTTTATCAATTAATCAGCTCGGTGAAGGTCAATGTTATATCGTATTCTCTATTAGCATTTTGGTCGACGTCTGTCAAACAATGCACTGTACTATGCACGGAATATAGAATACAATGGAAGTAGCTTGAAACAATATTTCTGGCAGAACCGGTGTCGCCAAACTAATACATTTATAATTTACTCATACTATAAATCGGAAGTTACGATTGGTTAGAAAAAAAAAATGGGCGTAAACGAACGATAAAAATAATATCGATAATATGAAAATGTGTTTTAAAAATAATGTGAAAAAAAAATATTGACTGCGATAGTGTGACAGTATTAAAATAATAAAATTTATATGTCGTTGATAACTTTTTAAACGAAACAAAAAAGGGTAAGTATTTATTTGCATGTAAATCAAAAAACATTTTGTTCATATTTTTTATTAGTTGTTTTTTCTATTTCACATAGGCAATATAAGTAACAACTATTACATAAATTTTTACAAACTTTATATGGATAATGTGATAAATCTCTCATTTGGGATGGCGATAAGGATGACGGTGCTGATCTGCTCCGTGAAGTGAAGGTTGCTTCCAATCACGTCGGGGTCACCACTAAAATAATAATAAAAAAATAATCTAAATAAATGTTACATTACACTTGCATCGATATCAATCGATAAATTCAATATGTGATTTGACCACATCACTATTTGAGTAGCGTAGAACTGGCGAGAATGTTCTATTGAATGGAATAAATCCAAAATAAACTTTATCTTGAAGGCGTAAGGTTGATTTTGACTAACCGTTTTAGTAAATAATATTATTTTAATAACCGTTTTTGTAAATTGAAATAAAATAAGATTTCTACAAGAAAACAATGAAAATTGTACTTACCGATGATACAAAACACCTCCATTTTTACGATTTTTCGTCTGCTATCATTTTTACACGCCAAAACGGAACAAAACGGCATAGTTGACGAAATATGTATTTGTCACGAGACTAGCAACTCGACGCGATGTTTGAACGAGTCTGAACTCGAATTTGCCTCGAGTATTTATTTATTTATTATCGAAGGAGTACGGCCACATCACAAACATATAACATTCAAAATACACAATAGTAACAAAATAAAGGTCTGATGCATGCGACAATAATGGCGTACATAGCATTGGCAATTCATAGGCTTAACAGTGGCTTAAACATAAAATCCAATTTGAGAATTATGGAAAAGAAAATAACAACAATAATCCACACCATACACACATTAAAATGAGAATTTAACAAGTTCAATTTTCTATATAATTATCATATGTCTGATTAAAACAAAACAAATTAACAACAAAAAATAATTAGTATCTATGCCATATTAAGTCTAATAATAATAATTTAATACAAATATAATATACTAAAATGTCAAATTATCGTCAAGATTTCAAAGAAATGTCAATTAAATCAGAATCAAAATAATTTCAATAATTTAAAGAAATGTCAGAGTTTAAAACAGATGTCAAAGTACAAAACAGCAAGCAGCACCAACAACAACAATAACAAACCATACTATAGTGCATCAATAATCCTGCCTCTAAATACTCTAGTAAGCAGTACACTGCTTAGTTGTGGCACACGTGCCACGCCTACTTGCTACTTCCATTGTATTCTATATTCCGTGGTACTATGAGTGCTGACACTAAAATCAGACTACAAATTGTACTGTAAAAATTGTATAAAAAAATGTTTCTCCCTTTACCAGAATGTCGTATTTACCTACAATAATAAATCAATGTTCTAGAGACAAAAAAATAACAAGAATAAATAATTCTACGACAAATAATAGACATCAAAATCTTTCTAAGTTCTTAAATTTAAAACTCACCAATAATTTCCTCCTCATATTCCTGTTGCGCGGCCCCGTTAGCTTGCTTAGACTGTGGCTGTTGTCGTCTGCGTATGATCTCCACCATCAGACCCTGGTCCATCTCCTCGAACTCTTTCGACATCACTATCGGGGTGAAGTTGTAGTCTTTTACTACGAACCTGCGACATATTTGTCATTAAAATTAGATTCAGCGGTGGTATTTTGATTTGTAAAACACAACAAAGGTTTTTGAAATATTTGAAAGAAAGAAAGAAAAATCATTTATTTTGCTAAGACACACAACAAGAATTTAGGAACACACAAAAAAGCCTATGGTGCGTCGCAGCGTAAAAGTTAATTAACCATTTATTTCACAGTTTGGTCCTTTATTATTAAAATCTGCCGGAATATATTTACTGCTGAATAAAGGAATAAAGATAGAAGAAGAAGAAGGAGTTTTATACCTGACATGTTGGATTAAATAACGACTTGTTTTGCTCTTCAATTAAAATAGGTTCATTTAATATTAATTTAAAAGATAGTTCAGTAACATGTTCAACATGTTATCGTTGTAAGATGACAGCAATTCATGTATGTGCAAAATTTAATTAGATCACGATTTTGGGCTCGTACACAAAACTGCGATGCGACGTCACATCGCAAAAATGTGTGAGCTCCCTCTACGCATCGCAAGAACTTGCGAATTGATTCGCATCGCGCATCAAAATCTTATCTTCCCAAAATCTTTTGTTTCTTTTTCCTGTATCTCCTAAGCAATAACAGAAGTGCACACTTCTTTTTACGATCCATGTCACGACCTAGTTTTCAATTTAAAACACGTTTAGTACGGTTGACGGTCTTCGAAGGAATGGTAACCTTGGGAGACGTCTTGTCGCACGAAATCGCATCGCAGCAATTCGCATCGTAATTTTCTGCGTTGCGAAATCGCATCGTGTACGAGCCCTTTAGGAACAGTATCTATCGATTTTGTAGCAACTAAAACAAGTATAAGTGCGAAACTTGTTTAGTTATTCCCCATCTATACAAAAAAGTTCAAACGAAAACAAGCAAACGAGGAGGCGAATCACTTGATGGTCAGAACCTGCAATATTAGAGTTAGGGGGTTGGAAGGGGGAACGGGGTAGGGGGATTGATAGGAAGTGGAGTGGAATAATTGTCTATAACTACTTAAAATGACTAACCTGAGACAATACTCCTTGATACAAGACAGCGACGCGTGATGTGCAGCGTGTAGCGCCTGCAACACGTTGCCGTAACACAGGTTGGCGCGGAGGAACCTCGCACACAGACCCCTAAGGCGGGGGATACTTAGTCGCAGCGCTAGGCGGAGGACTTCCATCACTAGGAGGACTGTTGCTGGAGATTCTGGATCTTCGTCTGAGGAACAAAGTTAAAAGTCGGTAGGATATATTCTTGTAGTCTGACACTCCCTCTCGCCTAACCCAAGGGGTTATTCTTCCCCCTTTTTTCCCCCCTCAAAACAACCCCTTTCTACCAACCCCTCCTAACAAACCTATAAATGAGACTTAATAGTAGAAGTAAGGGGTTAGTCTTAGTTTAAATGCTCCCATATGCTAAGTAACTTTCAGTTAAAAGATAGTTTATGGGTGGTTGGTATAAACTGACATTAGACACGTAGATATCTTTTACTAAAGTTTTTTTTATTGATGTAAATAAAGCCTAGTTTACCTTTCTCAGTAGGATCGATTCTATCTGTGTAGATATAGTTGAGCACCATGTGGAAAGCTTCAGGCGTGGCCTCAGGTAGCAACACACAGAGTTGTGGGGGGGACTTGTACGAACATACTTCTGACGCTTCTTCCTCCCCCGCTGCGATACGCTTCGTTAGATCGTCGCGAGCTTCTCTGGAGAATTGTGAAGACGATTAAATTATCATTCAATCAAACAATATACTGATAATATCATAGTAATTTTACTCATATTATAAATGCGAATGTTTGTGTGTATGTTTGTCACTTAATCTAAACAAGTTAAAATAGTGCCAAAGGAGTTACAAGTACATGGTCGGGCTTTGGGGAATAGGTTATTGGGAAATTGGGTACGGGTGATTAGCGTATAGGATTGTGGTTTATGGGATTGGGGGATTGGGAGATTAGGGGGATGGGGGATGTTGTTTGGCGGAAGGATTGGACCTCCTCCGATCAGTGCGTTTACTTACTTAATTTTAGCACGTAGATACTGCGACCGGGCCGCCAAGATGGCTTGATGAGCTAATATGGGCGTCTTCTCTGGGCCCACCAATATTTGTATGTCACAGAACTGATGGGATTTCAGAATGCGACCGAAGTCATCGTGCAGAGTGCAGCGAGGATAGTTCGACAGCTGTTTGGAAGTGAAATAAAATCATCAAATCATCATCACAAATCAGAAGATGTTATAAGATGAGAAGAAAAATAAACGATAGTTTCCTCTTCCAATTACTGCAGGATGTCTCCTGCAGTAATTCGCCGAGGGAAGTGGAATTGCTAGAGCCATGCTAGAGGCTCATATCTATGAGCAGCATTCCGCGACATGTGACAAGAAAGTGCGCGTGAATCCGGGCAGAGGGCGCGCTGGGCTGCAGACTCGAGCAACCAGTAGCGGCGACTGTCGCCGCGTCGCGGGCCGCGGAATGCTGCTCATAAATATGAACCTCTAGCATGGCTTGAAACTAGTCGAGTTGTTCGTCAAATAATTACGTGAGTAAGCCAAAAACTTAATAATTAATTTAGTATGTCTCATGAAAGATTCAATATAATTCTATGTAGTCTGTAACGTAGTCTGTCAGTAACTGTACCTATGTAATCTCTTAGTTTGACTCTTATGACACACGCGGTAAAAGTTTTATTTTTATATTTGGTGGGCGACATTTGCCCACTCTCTCGCCTGGGGGTAAGCGATGATGCGGTCTACCATGGAGCACGTCGACCCATAAGCAACCTATTCACTCACTCAGCATAATAGAGTAGTGGTGGTACTGGTGACAAAATGTATTCTATTTTATCATCATCACACGACTGTAAAAATAGTTTACCTGAAACCGGAACAGATCCCCGCTCCTGACGTTATTATCTATAGTGCCCCCGAAGATATAGAGCGCGTCTCCTACTACTGCGCCCGCGTGGAACAGTCGGCCTGACGGGATCTGAGAGTCGTTGGCGGGCTGAATTACTGACCTGAGAAAAACAATATTATTATTTATAAGTACCTACCTCTAAGTTTTTATGCGACAGGGAGGTGAAAAAAAGGGGTGAAGTAGCAGACCCTGATAGTAAGGAATTAACAGCACCCATGGACACACGCAACAGTAGTGAAGTTCAAGTTGGCTGCCGGCTTTTTAGGGGTTAGGGATTTGTGGAATTGAGGATGAGGACGGGGGACGGGGGATGGGGGATGGGGGATGGGGACGGGGGTTTGGGTTTCGAGTACCTAATCTTACTTACACGGAATATAAGGTAAGCGTTGTTTCAAGTATTAGGTTTATCGGAGTATGTTGCAGCTTTATCTCTGTTAAATATGTAGATTACACCCAATAGAAGGGAGAAGAGTAGTGGTGGGGTCGAATTTAATTCTAATCTGACTTGAATAATATATTTTTTTATAAACTACATTTAAAAATAACGATTTCAGCCATCTTTTTTTTTGTCGGTTGATTAATTTAGTAAAACCTTCTCCTAAGTGTAACGAACACTTTTCTGTAAACGTATCAAAATTGGTTCAACCAAACGCGAGATAATCGCGTACAAACGTACATTCATACAGGTCAAACTGAGAACTACCGTTTTCTTTTTTTTAAGTCTGTCGTTAATTTTTTAATTATTAAAATAATAACATAACGTTACGCCTTTTATCCGTAAAGGGACAAGCAGAGGTGCACATTACGACACTTAATGCCACTATACAATGTAACACCCACATTTCACTATTTATGTTATGAGTCCCATGTAATAGGGGGTGAGCCTATTGCAGTATATGGGACACAATTTCAATTCCGTGCTACTACTGAGAATTATTTTAAAAAACCCAGTAATACTTTGGCCGACTCGGGAATCGAACCCGAGATCTCTTGCTTGGCAATCCACTCGGTTAACGAGGCAGTGAATCAAAATGATAGTATTAAATTATTTGAGTCACCATATCTGCGTGTCCAGGTCGTAGCAATGCAGGTCGTTGGGCAGCGTGTTGTCGGCGGCGCCCCCGAAGACGTAGAGATGCGCCCTGTGCGCCACCATGACGTGTCCGTAGCGTCGCGCCGGCGCGCCGCCCGCGCTGCGCAGCAGGTGCTCCGTGCACACGCGGCTCCAGCTGGGTGGGGACATGCTCGGACTGGTACCACCAACGACCACACCACCACAGCGGAGTGTGCAGTCGTGTCACTGAGGATACCGGAAGCCTAATTACCCCCCCCCCCTCTCCCCAATGTCCCCAATCCCTGAATCCCCAACAATCCTCAAATTCATAATGCCCGAAAGGCAGGTAACGCACTTGTAACGCTTCTGGTGTTCCAGGTAGTCATAGGCGGCGCAGATTGCTTACCATCAGGTGATCCGTATGCACGTTTACCGGCTTATCCCATAAAAAAATTGGTACCTATACTTGTGTTACAGTGATCGGAAATATTTTTTTCACTTAATTTAGTTAGGAACTGTTGTACAAAAATACATTGGGACCATTTTCCCATATACCAACTTGATATTAGTGTATATGAAATTATGGAGGCTTAGCCTAAACATCTGTCCGACTTTAAATAGATTTTCAACTTTACAATTTTGTAATAAAGACGAAAATATCATGGTTTCAGTCTAAATGATACTTTTCATTTTCAGAAGAGCTGTATCTAGCTATAGTATCTAGCAACAAAGAAAATAACTTACGTATGCGTCTCAAAATCGAACTGGAAGAGGGCATTAGTAATCTTAGCTCCACTCTGTCCACTGAACACGAACATTTTCCCTCTCGCCACTGCCACGGGGAAGTTGCAGCACGTAGGGGGACACTGCCCCTTCTGTTCTATTCGCTCCCATTGCCGCGTCTCGCCCTGGGGGGAAGGGGTATTAAATTTCAAAAAAAGGGGGAGAAGACTTCGTAGAATTTCGAGGAAGGGGGATCGGACATCGTGAAAAGGGGATAACACATCGTTAAAGGGCGATACTACTTCGTGGATGGGGGGATTAGACTTCATAAAAGCGGGGGATTAGACTTCGTAACATAAAAGAGGGTATTAGATTTTGTGGAAAGGGGATTTGACTTCATGGGTAGGATTAGATTTAGTAAAAGGGGTATTAAACTTCGTGGAAGTATGAACTTTGTGGAAGACATTAACTTTGGATTTTGACTTTAATAGTGGTTTTGTTGATTGGAAAATTAGTCAAACTATTTGTCAATTTGCAGAAACTTAATCAGCTACTTACCAACAAGTTGATAGTCCACATATCATTAAGGCGCGCGTTCCCGTCGTAACCAGCGAATATCCACAGTTTGTCGTCATACACTGCCGCGCCATGCGCTGACCGAGGTACAGGCTCCCTAAGACAATTACCAAATTTTAGTAGGAGCAACAACTTTTATCATTACAATGTCAATACAACCTGTTTGAACCAAACCAACAACCTGTAAAAATATTTCTACATTAAAAGGTTTGCTATAATCTCCCTGTTTGGCATTTGGAGGACTTACTTACTTTAATCTCCACAATTGAAGATGGTACTTTGTAAGGTTTCGAGTTATCAGAGAGCACTGCCCGGTCTCTGTCAAATGTTTAGTCCCTTAAGGCGGCCACACATTATATGCATGCAAAACCGACAAGTATAAAGGAGGCCATACACGCTAGGTTATGCATGATGGTTATAACTGTGCATGCAAAACCGACAAGCATAAGCGAGCACCGATGCACCGATAACTGTATAGTTTAATCACATACACGCTAGGGCTTACCTGTCGGTTATGTATGCACGGCTAAAACCATCATGCAAAACCTAGCGTGTATGGCGTCCTTTAAATGGTTCTTACGAGATCCATAGCAATATACGGGAGGGGGAGAGGGGTTAAAATAGTGAAAATTAGATTATATTATAGCTATAAAAAAAAAGTTGAACTCACTGTCCACTAAACTTCCACTGCACCCACTGTGCGCTCTGGAACTTGTACTCGAAGAGATCGTTCTTATTGGTCAGGTTGGAGTTCGCTAATATATCGCCCGTGTAACCGCCGAACACGAACATCGACGACCGATGTACCTAAAAAGAAAATACAAATATCCAATAATCCTCTCCAATTCTCGAATGGGTGGTTAGGCTCTAAACCGACACACCGCATTTCAACTGAAATTGAGTACTTTCCTTAATCAAAAATAAATTATTTCGACTGTTCAATGAAATGAAATATTAAAAAGTAATCACACTTTCATTCATTGATTTTATGACCAACTTAATTTTAGTATTTTCCAGCCAATTTTTAAGAAATAAGTATGCTGGTTGACGCTAAAAAATTGTGATGTCACAATACACAATGGCGTACAAAATTCATAGAAAACTGTCAATTTTGACAGTTCGAAAAAATACGCTAGGCCCCATTGCTTACCATCAGGTGATCCTCGATCCTTGTTTCCCGACCTCATTACTTTAAAAATCAAACGCGGCAGATTCGGACTGGATTAAAAAATATATCACCTCAATGTTTTTATCGCCCGTTTACCGTGTCTCGGTTTTATAACTCCGACAAATAGGATATACATAATTTTAATTTTTTATCAGGCCAACAATTTTTAGTGGGGCATAATCACTGCGTGGTTAGTATAGTGGCTGGGTGGGCGACTTGAATGTTTCATATCAGCCATAAGACGTAAACTGCTGAACAGGGCTCTCCCAACTACTTCCAGATTTGGGTGCATTTTTAAATACATGACTTCATGTTTTTATAATAACTCTCGTGAGTGAGACATACTGAATTAACTAAAACTAATGGTTTATTCGTCGCACAGCCTACTACGCCAGCCAGCAGCTAGTAGGCTGCGCGACCTCACCGCGGCCGCGTACGCTGCTCATAAGGAAGAGTCCCTCTGTGACTCGAAACTAGTACAGCTTTTTTCAGTGAATTTACGCAAATAAATAGACTATTTTATGTACAAATATGTATTACTAGCTTTTACTTGCGGCTTCGCTCGCGTCACAAAAGGATAAAAAGTAGCCTATGTGACATGTACCAACACACACAGCGCCATCTATATAAATACTTTTGTTTTTCCTCGGGAATATCAATTTTTTCCGGGTTAAAAAGTACCCTATTATTTAATCCGGACTTCTAACTTACGTCTGCAAAAATTCAAAGCAATCGGTTGAGAAGTTACGGCGTTAAGGTGGAACAAACAAACAAACAAACTCACTTTCAGATTTATAATATTAGTAAGGATAAACCAAGTTCTTAAACTCACCACTGCAGAATGATGGTATCTGGGTGCTGGTGGGATGCCCATGCATCCAGTTTTCGTCCACGACTTCTCCCGGATATCGAACCTAATCAGATCATTCAGCATCGACTTGCCATTGTCACCTCCAAACACATAGATAGCATCTTTGTACGCTACGGCTGTATGTTTGCTGCGTCTGTTAACAATTAAAAAATATTTAAGATATTTTTAGGTAACCACATTAAAAATATCCATAATGGTAATCCAAAGTAGGTACTGTCCCCTTAATAGGGTAGATGTCTAATTTTTGTTTTAATGTCCGTCTGGTAGATTATTTTAAATCATTAGACACGTATTTTTTATTTTCCTATAGAAACGAATACTTTCAGCGATATATTGATTTGAAATGTCGCGTGACGTCACTTCTATGTACATTTTATTCGTAGAAATGACGTTTTAGCCCACTCCTAAACTTTGATTCGTTTTATCTAAGTATTGTTTTATTATACGACAAAATAAAAAAATATGTTTCTAATATTTTTTCATTACCTAACTTACGGACTAATTATATTTTTCATACCCTGTCATACAATGTAAGACCCACTTTTCACAATTTATGTTATGAGTCCGATGTAATAGGGGGTGAGCCTAACCAGACTGCTACTTTGAGAATTTTTTAAAAAACCCAGTAGTACTTTCCCTGACCTGGGAATCGAGCCCAGGATTCCTTGCCCGACCAGTTGGCAAACGAGGCAGATTTTTGGGAATATTTTTGACATAATACTTGTGTTTTATAAATTTGGATCGACATTTATTATTACCTACTTATTATCATTTTTAAATAAGTGTTTCTTACCTGGCTCCAACAAACTCATAGCATTCCGACATCCTTTTCCATTTGTGTACAGTTTCAAATGGTCCAAATTCCATGCGGAGACTGATGTCCAGCTCATTCGGATTCCGCAGCTGCTCCGTTATCATCTTCCCTAGGTTGTTCTGCATTTGTGATTATTGCTGTAGATAAGATAGGGATTTAATATTAATTTATTAGTCATTTTCTATTGTTGTTCTTCTTTTCTTTAATTCTGATGCGAAAGGCAATGATTCTATTCTTTCACATATATTATAAAAAGAAAGTCAACTGGAAATATCTTTGTTAATAGTTATAGAGAATAATTCGCCGTCCCCGGGGAATAAAATGGTAATGTGCTATTACGATAGTTTTAAGTTTATTGCATATTCGATATTTAGAGGTCCGATTACACTTGGTCAATTTTTTTCAGACATTTCCTATGGTTATTGTAGAAATTACGAAATGTTCACGTGTATTGTAATAAATTTAACAATATAATTTAATTGTATGCTTAGTAGACTTTTTGCAACGAATAAAATTGTTAGAGACTATTACAATTCTTTCGATACGTTACATTTCCAGTAAGATGCTCTTACCATTATATTCGCGGGAAAAATAGGCTACTTAATTTGCGTAAAGCTCAATACAATTTTATTCCGGTAACAGACAATTTTATTTTAATATCGTTAAGTTTTTTACGATATATTTTATTACAAATTAAAGAAGGTAATGTCGATTACTATATCCGAAAACTTACATATTTTCTGTTATCGGTTTACTACTGAACAAAGAGAAAGTATATTTCAGACCTTTTATCAACTCGGGAATCACGAACTTCAATGGCAATATATTGTTCGACACACAGATGTTAAACCTGTAAAGCGAATAACTTTAGATAGAAAAAACAACAGAACACAAACCATAAAATACTCATTTCCTTCAGACGGCTTAAATAATAATATTAACGTTTGCAAAACATACTTTTTAAATACGATAAAAATATCCGAACAAACCGTTTATACCGCATTAGAAAAAATAAAAAGAGACGAAAGTTTAATCGACAAAAGGGCAATTCATAAAAACAGGCCCCATAAGATGAGTGATTCTACGAAAGAAAGCGTGATGGCGCATATTAATAATTATATTTCCTGCTGTAGAATCCCACTATGTCAGGAAAGATATAAAGCGACTCTATTTATCAGAGCACCTAAACATTTCTAAAATGTACCGATTGTATGAACTCTGGTTCCCCAATCAACATTATTCTGCAGAACACAAGGCTACAAAGCGGCATTATGAATATATTTTTAACACGGAGTTTAATTACTCGTTCTTCAAACCAAAGAAAGATTTATGCGGAACCTGCTCCCAATTTGATCAAGCTAATGAAATAACCAAAGTTAGTCTAGAGGCTAAGGTCCCTTTTCACCAAGCTCTGTAAAAAATCAATTACACGTAACCTAAAAGTAACCTAAGTTCTGTGTTCTGTGTTTTCTGTACTGATTTCCGTGTAAACTAGTTTCTGTTTGTAGCGGTGAAATGTAAAATGAAGCTGTAACTTCGTTTAAACGCTTTAAATTCGATTAGACGCTTTAAATCAGTTTTGTTAGGTGTAATCGTGATCAGTTTCGTTGGTGAAAAGGGACCTAAGTATAGGGAACATTTGATGAGGAAGAATAAAGTGCGCCAGTTAAAAGAACAAGAAAAAGCTGCAGTGGATGAAAGAACTACAACTATCGCCATTTTTGATCTAGAAAAGGTCCTCAGTATCCCTCAATCTGAAGTGGGGATTTTTCACTATAAAAGAAAATACCCCGTTTATAATTTTACTGTCTACGACTCACTGCGAAAATTTGGTAATTGCTATGTCTGGCATCTGTCTATTGCCAAAAGAGGATCGATTGAAATCGGCAGTTGCTTACTGAAGTTCATCGAGCAAGAAGGTCTCAAAGGTATCAAAAATGTATCTTTTTATTCCGATGGCTGCGCTGGTCAGAACAAAAACAGGTACATTTTAGCATTATACCTTTATGCCATAAGAGCTTATGACTTAGAAAATATAACCCATCGATTTTTTGAGACTGGCCACGGCCAGAACGAAGGTGATAGCATGCATTCATGCATAGAAAGGGCAATGAAAAATAAAGTTTTATATACTCCTGACCAAGTTTACAGCATCATCATGAATGCAAAAGTAACTGAAAATAAATATAAGGTCCATGAGATGAAGCAGCGTGACTTTTACAACATAAAAAGCCTTATTTCTGGGAAACACTGGCTAAGAGATACTCACGGAAACAAAATAAAATGGGCAAAAATAATGGAAGTGAAGGTATCACGTTTTAAACCTACTATTCTCCAGTTCAAGTATAACTTCGAAGAAGAGTATCTGGAACTAGACACGGAGTTACAAATAACTAGACCCAGGCGAGGGTGAAAAGCGACAGCCTCAATTGCAGCAGAAGCTGAATCAATCAATTTGCATTTGAGACAAGCTTATGATCAGCAAATACCTATAAGTAAAGCGCTACATGCAGATTTATTAAGTTTGTGTACTAGTGATGCAATCCCACAGCACTACCATGCGTTTTATGAGTCTCTCACGAGCTGCGAGGATAACCCGAACGAACATTCAGACTCTGAACTCTCTGAGCATGTAGACGACACGGAGTAGTGCAGCTACCGGTATCAGCTTTTTAAAAAATAAGAATTAAGTACTTTGAAATAGACAGTTCCTAATTATTTTGTTGATTTTTATAAACAGTTGTTAAAAATTATGAAAAATAAAAAATAAATAGACAACAGTTGTTTTTTTTTCTTCGCATATTACCTTGCACACGTACAAAATATTTATTCAGTATTTAATACTTGCCTACAGTTAGTCTAATAAATTTTCCATAGAATAAACACGTCAGTTGCTATTGCTGTAATCTGTAATTGATCGCTTCCCAGCGAATAAAATGGTAACAGTTCATTACGATATGGGATCCTTTCACAGTTAATCGACCAATAACATAGCAATACAATAATACGGTAACGTATTACATGCGATTTTATGCGAATAATATCGTAATGTTGCTTTACAGTTAAAGTAAGTGCCTTTAATTCATGGTAAAGTTAATTTAATTAGTAACTGCATTTCTAAGAAAGATAAATTATTTAATATAGTTTACAATTCTTTTGTAAAAAATCACCTTTCTTTTGGTATTTGAACAATCCAGCTATGTATATTAGTTTATGAGATATTCACAAAAAACTGTTTTTTATTTTTCCTGTAAAATTTAGTTTTTACGATTACCATTTTATTCCCCGGGGACGGCGAATTCTTTTCAATCAAACAGATTAAATTAACTTTAAAGACATTACCTGATATTTATTTCTTTTAATATTCGAGTAGGTATACCACGAATGAGGTAATAATTATTTTAGTAATGTAGCACTCAATTGTACACCATCGCCGGGCTGAAATTAAAAAATAATAATATTACAATACGAAAAAAAAAAACAAAAAATAATGTATTACAATTTGGTTGAATAGATAGTCTACCAATCAATAAATCGTTGCAAATGAAGAGAATCTGATGGTATAAAGCTCGCTGATTCTAATTAAAGCACACAGCGACCCGGAACTACGATAAAATAGGAAGAATTCTCAAAATAAACCAGCCGAAAATAGGTCGACGATTTTCTTGAAGTCATTGACACCATAACAGGACACAGTCCTACACTCGTTTTAATGCCAAAAAGACAATTTACCTTAACTTAGACTACCATAACAATCAGACACATATGTGAAAATCACATAAATCACACATTTGTTTAAATATTTCAAGAATCTAAATCGATAAACTTTGTTATTATTTGACAGAAACTTGAATGAATCAGTTCAATCAGTTTGTTTGATTTGTGATTGTGAACAATAGTAATGAATGAAACTGTTTTCGTTGACAGATGTTGCAAACATTTATTTTGTATGAGATCATCAAAATGCATGAAAAATTTTGTGAACCTAAATAAATACATTAAAAGCTCAGAAAATATTCTGAAAAAGGCTACTATTGATAGTCTAATAATAATGTAATGATTTTATTTCAACGCATTTACTTTTAAACTTTTTGAGCATTTCTAAACTAAACAGTTTTTTTTCATTACAGATTAAAAAGACCACCGGTTTATCATTCACTCCTAATTACAAAAATTTTCATTCAATCAGTCAGTAACCGAACTTCGCCGAGTTTGTTTATTTTACGAATTTAATTTCTTTCGAAAAGAAAGTAAATAGGGAATAATATGTCTTCACCGGTGAGTACAAAATTGATAAAGATGATTACAACAGTTAGTTATTGTGTTTCCACAATTAGAAAATGTATTAAATTGTTTTTGTTCTTGTATGGGCAGACAGAAGAAAGCGTACGGCGCAACAGCGAAAGCGAAGGTGGCGAAGCTGAGACGCCGGAACATGATCCTCACTTTGATCCCATCGTGTCGTTACCTCTTGTGGACGTCCACACGAATGAAGAGGAAGAGGAGGAACTCGTAAAGATCCGCGCCAGGCTTTACAGATACGATACTGGAGACCATGAATGGAAGGTAAGACAATGGAAAACAATTGAATTAAGAATTTTTTTTCATTCTATAGACTGTAGTGTTACTTTGTATATGCTTTATATTTTCTTGAGACAAGGCGAAGGAAATTAATAAAGTGTAGGCATTGTGCCTATTACAGGTTAGGCCTGAGTCATAGATATATTCAGCCTATTGAATAGATAATGATAACATACTTTGTCAACAAGAAAAGTAAGATTAAAAATGATTATTTGTTAGCTATAAAGCAGTAAGGCAATAGGGTTTAAACAAATGCTAATAAAAAAATTAAAACATGTAAAATTTTTATAGGAAAGGGGCACGGGTGATATCAAATTGCTTCGTCACAAAGTGAACAACACAGTCCGAGTTGTGATGAGACGTGACAAGACTCTGAAAGTGTGTGCGAACCACTTCATCACACCTGATATTAGGATGAATGTCCACTGCGGTTCTGATAAGGCCTTCAACTGGTCTGTTTTTGCTGATTTTGCTGATGAAACCATGAAACAGGAACTATTGGCTATCAAATTTGGAAATGCTCAAAGTAAGTATTTATAAATATTTTATTCCTTTTGATGTAGGATTTTGACACTTATGTTGTAATTACTTTTTATTACTTGTATTTTTAATGTTCTTTTTTATGGGAGTTGTAATTACATGTTTATGAAGATTATGATCTTTATGATCTTTATAGCATGTATTTGAACTGTGCAAAAGAGTTACCTTTCAACTAAATAAACAATAAATGAATTTCATTTATTTTTAAGTTAATTGAAGTCCAAGTGAAATCATTTCTTTTAATTAGACCAATAAGGCGCTTATTGGTACACCAAAATATATTATTACTTTATTCCTTAATATGGTACACAAAGCGGCTGAAAAGACGAGACTTCATGGAACTTGGCTACCCAAACTCCTAGGCTGGCCTCGAAATAAGAGACTGTTCTCTTAATGGAGAGATTTGTCTACAAGTCAAATGACGTCCAAAAATTTGCTCATGGTCAAGAGACCGATTGCAAATAAACATAAAAAAAAAAAAAAAAAAAACTTTATTCCTTAAAACAATAAACATTGTATTTCATAAAGAACTTTAACATTTACAGATGCAGAACTATGGAAGACCAAATTTGCAGAGGCTCAAGAGATTGTGAGAACAAAATGTAGTATTTACACGCAGGACCTGTCTTCAGATGACGAGAGCAGCATCACAAGAAGCGAGGACACTGACTCACCGGAGCCCAAGCCTAAGACTTTGGAAATAGATGCCAAAAATGACAAAGAAGAAGTTGATTCAGATGGCGTAGTCTTAAAATTGAAGGAGCTGAAGGTAGAAGGTGCGGAATAAATTTCATTTTTAATTTTAATGTATTAAGAGGCCAATATGTAATTTGATGTTGTAAGACAACTACAGAATGACTTGTTTATGATGTACTAGCTTTTACCCGCGGCTTCGCACGCATCACAAAAAAATAAAAAGCCTATGTGACATATGCTATTACACACAGCGCCATCTATACCAATAATTTCGATTTCCTTCGAGAATACCAAATTTTTCCAGCATAAAAAGTACCCTATTATTTAATCCAGACTTCTAACTTTACGTCTGCAAAAATTCAAAGCAATCGGTTCGGTAGTTACGGCGTTAAAGCGGAACAAACAAACAAACAAACAAACTCACTTTCCGATTTATAATATTAAGGATATTAAGGATTAAGGATAGTATGCAATGGTGAAGCTGGTAACGTAAGAAGTTTGATTAGATTGACAATAGACTAAGTTCCGTTGTAATGGTAATTGCTTATGCTTCAGGTCTACTGTCCATGATGCTTAATTGCTCCTAAGCAAGCAAGTATTTGCCATCATGGACAGTAAGCCTAACGGACTAAAGTCCAGTAAAAGTATTGATGAAACTAAGGTTTGTCTGTTGATATGAGTCCTCTGCCTGGCCTAAATCATAACACACACTCCAATTAGATTTGTTTCAGCTTAACTTACTGACTAAGCTCATATATTTCATATCTCTCATATGTCAAGTTGTTTCTGTAGCTCTTCTGATAAAGGTATCCCGAATGATCCCACACTCTCGCTAGATGTCTAGCCAGCAACATTTATGTAAGGCCTAAAATGTAGTACTACACATATTATACCCCATAATGTACAATCATTTACCAGTCATTCTGTGTATTTTAATTATAATGATGCATTTACAATAAATCTATATTTTTTTCTTTTAATGGCTAGTGATAATATTGTATGATTGTTTTATTATATTGGACTAATACTAATATTTTAACTGGCAACTCTCATTCGAATTTTATTTACGCTTAATGTAAATATTTTCAATTTGTTCCATTTTTACTGTTGGCAATACTTTAAAATGATGTTTTTAGCTTGAAATGAACGTTCGATTTAGGATTTGATATTCCATAGAAGCTCGAATATAATAATATGTATGATAATAATAATTATTAATGTTAGTATCTATATGTAAGGTTGTGTTTTAAGTGGAGCATTATTATATTGACACTAGAGATTGGCGATATTTTTAATAAATATCCGAGTAAAAACAAATATTTACTTGGTATTTATAGAAAACATAGCCCATCTATTTATTGATACATTTAGCTAATTTCAAGTTGTTCCTTTTACTATTTTTGTTCTAATTAATTAGACTGTAATTTTCCTATTTCTTTTAAGATTCTCCCTTGTATAGTAAAATATTGCTCCACTTGAAATTTATTAATAATTTTTACATGTCGTCATGATCATTACATATCAATCTCAATCTTACTGTTGTAACTTTGTTTGTGTCGGGGGTATAGGTTTTTTATAAAGGTCATTTCATAGTTTTGTTGATATGAATCGCTAACCATGTCTTAGATTTGCATTCTTATTTCTAAGTAGTGAGACAGGGTAAACGGAGGCCTTAGTATTCGAAACGAGACCGCGTCCGTCGCTCTGATTGGCTGGCTCCAACGTACCAGCCAATCAAAGCGCTGAACGCGGTCTCATTTCGAATACTTTGAACGTAAAACAAATTCATACTAAAGCCTCTGCTTGTTTTAGATAAAAGTATTCGTTCTTCGCTCATTAATTCGCGTAATATAATTGGTATGTAGCAAGGAATTGATATGCTTTAAATGTAAGTAGATAGTCAATGAAAATTCCCAGTATATGGTAATAGGATCGCCCCTATTATCATAACTGAAGAAAGTAGGTGTTACATTATTTATGTACACCTCTGCCTATCCCTTGGAGGAAAGGCGTAATGTATGTGTTATATAAATATAACGTAGAAGTTATTTACATGTCTAGCTAGCTTCTCAGTAACTTTGAAAGAATGAAAATCACCTCTAAAGTTTTTGTAATAAAGGCGTTATTAAGTTGTCACTGCTAAAACAGACATGTGCCTAATATTTTTCTATACTCTTGACACGTTAAAAACATTCATTCATTATAATTTTACTCTGTAATAGGTAATTCTATTTTTACATGTATGTAACGTCGCCATTTTGTCGGTAGTTTTTGCGTTGTTACATTCCAATTTAATATTGTGTTGTAATAAAATATATCGCGGAAACTATGTGACGAAATCGGCTCGAATTTATATTATAATTTTATACATTTCAAAATCTGAATACATAGATGGATTTCATGAATGTTTTGCTTTTTATTTGTATACCCATACTATTATCCGATTTTTTATGTAGTATGTTATCGGACTATGAACTATTTACGACATAGATAAGATACCTTAGTTTGCTTGCTTCCTGGCTTGTCTTTACTGTACTATTAAACTCGGTAGCAACTAGCCTGATTTCAAATGGGCCAAATTCTGAAAAAAAAAAAAATTCTAGGGATATAAATACTAGGACATCTATATACATGAGAGAAAGTCGTTTTAGTTACACTATTTATAACTCAAAAACGGTTCTATCGATTTGGATAAAAATTTGTGGGTAGGTAGCTTAGGACCAAGAGATGGATATAGGATACTTTATATCCACTATTTTTTTCTATTACTTTTTACCGAAAATCACGAAGGGAGGAACAGGAAAAACGGGATTCCGCGTACGAAGTCGCGGGCAGAAGGTAGATTATTAATAAAAATCATTACGTGTTAAGTACTTAAAATAATTTATTGCAAACACACCCACAATCGTGCACCTTAATTTTTACAATTACATTATATAGAATAAAACATTTTAATACAAAGATATGCTCGTGATTTTGGGAACCATCTATCTAATACGTGTTTTATAAAATCTTTACTGTAGTTCCTTTAGTTCTAATTTTGTACAAAAGCCATGGCTTTTAAAGCAGCTGCTATCAAACAAAATTAGGGGACACGCTAATCAATATAAATACGAATGTAAGTCTGTCTGTCACATTCAAACTGCTAAACAGCTCAACAAATTTTGATATAACTTAGCAAGATAGAATACAATTTGTCTCAAGGATTGATAAACCGTAATTTCAATTATTTGAAGCGCCTAGAAACAAATTGCGGCGAGTAATGAATGTTGCCACATACTTCCTGTTTAAAATACGTTTTTAATATGATAGAATTGTAGAAATCACTATTTACATTTTGTATTACAACATACAATACCGAAATGTTATCATCGAGCTGGTATAATAATCTGAAACCAATGCAACCGTAAAATTAATTAGGTATGTGACTGCAATTATTTTCAAATAAAAAATACGTCTAGTGGAATGTTTTCAACAATATTTAATACTTTGGTATCGCACTACCTATCTAATATTTACTAATATTATAAATGCGAAAGTTGTAAGTTCGAGTACCTATGTTTGTTACCCCAAACGGCTGAAGGGCTTGGGTTGATATTTGGAACAGGGATAGATTATAGAATATAAGCTACTTTTTATCCCACAGGATCGTAGTTGAAACCGCGGGCAGAAGCTGGTATTAATAAGTAGTCGCGGAGAACCTAACGGGTAACCAGGGCTCCAGCTCGACGTGCAGGAGAAGGAACGGGGTGGTTTTTAGTCAGTAAGAGTGACACTCCCTCCCGCCTCACCCAGGCGGGAGCAGTCATTCGATGACTTTCCCCCCTTAAAAAAAAAGTATTAATAAGTAAGTTAGTTTGGCAAATGTAAAGTAAGCCATCACACTGATGTAAAATTTTGAACACTAGACCTTATTACTTCTACATAAAAATAGTTTCTGTTTGTGACAAAAGAGACAATGACAAAAGATACATTTATTCTATGCTACTAGTAATGTATAATATGTTAATTCATGGTTTCCATGTAGTTTGACCGTCATGGTTGATCAGTCATGGTAATTTTAGCTTCGCGGTCAAAAAAGGAATTAATAATAGAGGCAGCAATTACAACCATCATAAGAAGAAAAATAATATGCTATTGATAAAAACAAAATGGTGTCTATTTTCAATAAAACGTAAAATTTTAAAGAAAAACTAAACTTTTAAAATTTTTAATACAATTCTATTAACGTAAAATGTATATGTAAGTAGTTGCTAAGTGCAATTCTTTGGATATGCATGACATTGTATCGCTCACATAAAACTATAATAGAACATTTGTAATACTCTATAATAAAATATAGGTACATTATTAAGTACATGTGTCGTAAAATAGTAAGTGTAATAATAACATGATATGGACGTTTAATTTCAAAAAGAATGAGTTATAAAACAACTCTCAATGCAATAAATATAATAATGGAATTGTGACAGTGAATAAAATTTCAATCAATATCTGTATTATCTACTCTACTATTGCATAGATGATAAATACTAGGATTTTTGCTAACCATTCTTAGGTTGATATCTCATACCGAAAATCTGCAAAATTTTTTCAAACAAAAGTCATCTTTAACTCGTTGAGAACCGTATTTATAGACACAATTAAAGAACAATAGGTTGCGGTCACCGGTGACCGCTTGGTGTTTGACAGTTTAAACATCGGAAATAAAGTATATAATAGGGTTAGTCGAGAGCAGTCACTGGTGACCCCTTGGGGATTGAAAAGTTAAGAGGGAAAAGAGATCAAATTGTCTTTTTCTGTACATAAAACTCATACAGTCAGGTGAAATAGAATTCTCAACTCACAATACAGGTGCGGAATATTCATAAGCTGTCATAAGTATATTTAGAGGTATCAGATAAAAAAAGTACTATAGCAGTAAACCCTATAGATTTAGAAACATAAAAATACTCAAGAGACCCTTCATAGGAGCAACAACTACACAACTATGAACTGTGATTTAGTGCCAAAGAAATTAATTGACCAATCACAGGTCTTCTTTCTGTGATTTCTGCTGCTTGTCAGATAGTTGGAATGTCTGAAGAATATTGATTCTGATTCCTAATTCTTTCTTCTTCTCTTCGGATACTTTGCTACTGAGCAACTTCTTCACTCTCTCATGTTCCAACTGTATGAAATCATCGCCTTTTTCTAGAATTTTCTCCATGATTGTCTTGTAGATCTTTCCAGTAGCAGGTTCCTAAAACAAAAAATACAATTGTTCGAGAATTGGACTAACAGATTCGTGCGCTAAGAATTGGGTGATAATGACGCGTTAAATTGACACTAGAGTCACGAGAAAATTATTAATGAAAAATAAAAGCTATACCTTGTCTGAGCTCTTCAAGAATTCTTCAGCCTTCTTCAGTACTTTTTTCCTCTCATCTTTCTTGCCTTTCATAAACTGAATTGCGAACTTATCGAGTTCCTTTACGCAGCCAGGCAAACTCAAATATATGCCTGTGTTCTCCCGCACAAACCGGCGAAGTTCATCACTGGTGAAACCTTTTGATTCATCAAATGGTATAGGCTCAGTTTTACCTTTGACGAACAGTTTAACCACAGGGAAGTTATCCTTGGTAGCTCCATACTTCTTCGCAAGAGCCTCATTTTCTTTTTCACCGTAATCTTTCACGCCGACTTCAGCAATCAAAAGATCTTCTACATCTCTCGCCTCCCTTGCCAGTGACACGAAAGCGTCATGTTTATCGCCGTATGGGAACGCCACATCGAATTTAATAAGGCTTGCATCGAATTTATTTCTTATTTTATCAAAAGAAAATTCGTCTAATTCGATAGACCCGGTCGTGGTTGAAGCTTGATAGGCAAAAGGTACAATTAAAACAAAAGTATACAGCAATAAATAACGCAGCATTATTAGTAATTATACAGCACTACAGTCTGGAATGTTCTGTCTTTCAATACTGAACGTATTTTACGAAATAAAAGCTTATATCGTTACACCGCGAATATATTTAATCGTCCGCTACGATACTTTATTGACTGTTATTGACACATTCCATTCCAGTTTGTTTCCCTTTTCAATAAACGTGTAGAACAGTTATGTAAACAATGTTCACATAAGTCCGTTATACGCTGTTTCGAACATAATTTCATTTTTAATAATAATGAAGTGATTAATTAATGTCCTGGAGTGAAAAAAATAATTGCTTCACATTTATTGTTCCTTTTATTCTTCTTTTTATGTGAAAACTGTTTACTTTATGAATAGTTTAAGTTTTACTTTATGAACATTTCACATTTGTGATCTGCATGAAACGGAGCTATCATAACAATATATCTATTGACAGCTGACCGTGGACGATCGTGATTGGTGCATACATTGCCAATTTAATGTAGTCAGTTTTCTATTACATTTTGAATCATTTCATAATATTCATTCAAAGGTGCAATTCAAATTACCGATAGGCTGAAATGTTTATTTATTTTCTGTATCTTCTTTTGAAGATATTAGTGAGACGTGATCGCAGGCCAGTTGAAGTAAAATAAAACGATTTTTACAAACAGATAGAACGCGATTTTAATAAGTCCCAGAACATTAAATTCTTGCAACTTGCAAAGTTCTTCGGAACCGATAAGAAATAGCTGTGACATTGATGTTTCAGCGTTATTATCACTTCGACGATGCATTCGTACATTCGATTCGTACACTCTACGTATTTAAAATAATAATACAAAATATTTACTTTTTATATTCCTAACACTTTATTGGGCCAATTTATGAGAACAATAAATGTATTGTTAACAATATGTATGATAAATGTATGAGAACAATAAAGCTGATTCGATTTCATAATAGTAATTGAAAAATAATATAAAGTTAAGGCAATAGTATAGATTACGTTTAGTTATTTTTTTAAATTCTTCTTTGTAGATAGGAGTAATGAATTTATTTTTTAGTTTTTATTTGCTAATTATTACAATATGCCATTTTGTGGTGTCGCAGGATACCAGCAATTGGTTGGATTCGGAGGTGATAGAGGACCGGTCGAGATATGTTCCAAAACAAAGTGAAGACCGAAGTAAGAATGGGCTAGGCAATAATGGGCAGGAGTCGTATGAAGACAAATCAAAGGAAGAATTCTATAAATCAAGATCGGAGGAATCTGATGAAAAAAACTTGAAACAGGGTTCGTATATATGTATTTACTATGTAATTAAAATATTAACTGCCTCGTTGGCCGAGTGGTCGTAAGTGCGACTGCCGGGCAAGGGGTCTCGGGTTCGATTTCCGGGTCGGGCAAAGTACATATTACTGGGTTTTTAAATATTCTCAGTAGTAGCACGGAGTCTGGAATTGTGCCCAAAATCACGCCAACATCACGCCTTTTATCCCCAAAGGGGTAGGCAGAGGTGCACATTATGTCACTGTACAATGTAACACTCACTTTTCACTATTTATGATAAGAGTCCCATGTAATAGGGGGTGAGCCTATTGCCATATACCGGGCACAATTCAGTTCAGTTTTCACTTTCCTACGATTTTATTACATCTAGGTATTTATAGATTAGGAGAACCAATAGTAGATAATACTCATATAATAACAAGCATAGCTATGTTCGTGCCGGCCAGGACCGCCAACGAGCAACGTGTCGCGGGTTCGATTCTCAGTGCCGGCCAAAAAGTGCATTTTCTGAGTAAAAATGACCATGATTAGCCCGGAGTCAGGAAGCAAGACACGGGGGTTAAACACCGCCGAACTTCCTGGCTCCGAAAGCACGTAAAGCAGTTGGTCCAGCGCCTGACCTCTCTCCGGTCGTGTTGGTCTGCCGTCCCATCGGGTTCAAAGGCTGCATCTGTGTTTGCCCACCCACTATAATATCTTCAGCGTAATAGGCTAGTCTAGTTAGACAGACTGGCCACCATGATCCCAAACAATCGGGATACATTATTATAACCAGATATTAATACACATCTATTTATTATTTGCAGTAGTAAGTGACTCCTCGGTTGAATTAAAGCCGGCGGTTTTTGTGTGGTCAAAGGGTATCGTGCCATATTACGTAGACCCTAAAAGCTACGGTAAGATAACTTTTTTAGAGCTATGTATGTATACAAGGTGTAGTTTAGAAACCGTGGCATTTCTCGGGGGCATGTCACAGAAATCATAAAGGTTCAATGTAAGAGAAAGTTTCGGGCCAATAGTAAAAATACAGCTATAATAAATCGTTTAAGTTCAACAGTATTTCAGAATAAGCGACAGCAATGTTTCTTATTGGAGTTTTATGGAATTAGGAATAATATCAATTACGTGTTTGAGTTTGTATGTGTTAAGCCGCGTTATTAAACTAGTTACTTACAAGACGGCGGCGCGTAGTTCGCACTTACGGATTTTCGTAATTTACAGAAAAACGAAAAATATTTACCTAAAATTTTCTTATTGGTTCGGACTCAGAATCGATAGCCGAGTTATCTCCTAGAAAATGACGGGGTTTTAAAACAACACCTTGTATAAAGTTTTGCCAACCCGCATTGACCAAGTGTAGAGGTTAATGTTCCAACCTTGTCCGTGCGAGAAGAGCCTTATGGTCAGCTTTAGCCATTTAAGTATAGGCTGTTGATATGTGTGTGATGTGTACATCTGTATAGTTTTAAGCAGCTGATTTTGGAGTGTCAGGAACATTCCATTCCACGTATGTATATGTATATACGAAGTCCCAGGGCAGTAAGATATACAGTACATTATGGCCATCGACCTTAGAGGCGGCGTCGCGCGGGACAGGGGTATAGAAACCCACGTCCGCGTGAGCGCCGCACTTCTTCATCCACACACTCCGCTAACTCAGGCCAAAGCTTTCGGGCATTTCTTTGTGTCCGTACGCCGCCAGTCTTGATTCTGATTTGTAAATACTTAATGTGCAGTCTTCTGTTTTAATTTAAAGTAACCCGACAGAGCTACGGCAGGTATCTTCTTTTTTTACGGGCATCGTAAAAAGCTAACTACACATTTGATAATGACCGGGCAGTAGCAGTCGTTTAAACTGCGACCTTAAACCGCCTGCTAGACGGGCAGGTTGTGACAAACCTTATGTAGACGAGGTCCACAGTCCAATGGTGACAGTGATCAATGATAAACGTCAGCCATTTGACCGAAGGTGGTCTAAAATTATCCAAATGCACAGATTAAAAAAGTAACGGCTTAATTTCTTGTTGCCAGATGAAATAATAACGAAACGCATAAGAACAGCAATGAATGCGATAGAGAGGGTCTCTTGTGTGATTTTTAAGCCCTTGTTAAGAAGAGGTAAAGAGATAAGTGGTTATATGTGGCTGAGTATCGAGAATCCAACAAAAATCAGGCGATGCATACATAGACCATTGCACGACGGCAGTGGGAAAGCGGTAAGATATTATGTAACTGTATTTATTATACAGGCTGGTGGTGAAAACAGCGCTGCGAACTCGAGCCTTCGTGCCCGGGCCGGGCCACAGCATTATGCTGAGCTCCGGCCTTTTGCGCTGCGACGCACCATGTACTTCTTTTCGTGTGTTCTTTCATTGTTATCTGCATGTGTGTCGTGGCGTAATAAACTGTAAAATTAAATTATTTTATATTATCATCATCATCATCATCATCATCTTAGAACTTCGTACTTTCTTTCCTAACCAGCCAGGCTTCTATGTAAGATGTCAATTCGAATTCTCGAAGTGAGCTCGATCACGGTCCGTCATGTCATTGGCTATGAGAATAATCCCGTCCAATGACGGGCAAGGATACGTTCGCGCTCACTTCGAGAGTTCGAATTGGCATCTTACAAAATAGCCTATATTTTACCCGCTGTTCGGGTCCTATTGATCATAGAGTGATATTTTATAGCTTATAACCTTCCTTGATAAATAAACTGTCCAATACAATTCGAATACAATCCTGTAGTTCCGGAATTAGCGTATTCAAACAAACAAAACAAATATACGGAACGATACCGTGCTCCAGCGCGTCCACATCCCACGCAAAATGATCCACACCATCAAAAAGTGCAAGATAGATATCTCGGTCACGTACTGATACATGACAGATACATGCTGCTTCATTTTATAATGATGGGTAAAGTGGAAGGGAAGATAAGCGCCTGGCGAAGGAAAAGTCGTGGCTGCGCAATATCCGGGAGTAGACCGGTATCAGAGTGCCAAGCACGAATAACTATCGCATTCGTAACGTAATAGTATCGAGCGCGTTCGGCGCTCTGATTGGCCGGCTGAAGTGAACCAACCAATCAGAACGCTTAACTCGTTCGATACTGTTACGATACTTTTCTTATACACTTTTCTGCTTGGCCAATATTAAGGACCAATTCAAAAAGCTGACAGCTAACCTTTAGGAATGAAGTGGCACCATAAGAAGAAGAAGAAGAAACAAATAAACTCTTCAAACTCTTCTTTTTGCTGAGCTCTGGCCTTTTTTTGCCGTCTTCATTGTAATAATTTATTTTTGTTTGTTATTGTACTTTGTGACGGTGTGCAAATAAACAATTTTACTTTCTTTTTCTTTCTTTCTTCATCTTTATATATATTACTAGCTGAAAGCGTCACTTCGTCGGCGTTTTTCTAACATAAAAGTAGCCTATGTACAGTCAAAGTTCAAAACTCCACTGCCACCGTGAGTGATGTTTACACGGCAATGCGTGAGTAATTTCATATTCATGTGCATAAAACATAAACACACGCACGCATAAAAATATGCTTGTGCATGTGTGTATAAGCGCTGCAGCGCAACCGATAGTAGTCTTACTTTTGACCCTTGACCGTACATTACATACCTACTCCTTAGTACATTAGCTACCTGTCAATAAAAGTCCCGTCCAAATCGGTCCAGCCATTTCAGAGATTAACCAGGACAAACAGACGGTTATTCCGACATTACGAAAATACCTACACTCCAATTTTATTTATCTGTATAGAAGTATATAGATAATATGTATATGACTTATGGGGTTAATATTTAAAATTTTCTTTATTGTATTCAGACTATGATCATCGGTTACGAGTGCATGTCGCCACGTGACATGCTGCATACGATGATGCATGTCCTTGGGTTCCACGACGAGATCACCCATCCACAGCGAAATAACTATGTCAGAGTCCTCTGGCCGAACATACAACCACGTGAGCAAAGCTGATCTTACTGTCGTACTCAAGGACTTAAGATAACATAACTTTTTATCTCCGAAGGGGTTGGCAGTGGTGCAGATTGATGTGCATTGTATAGTCGCATTAAGTGCCCTAATGCCACTGTACAATGTAACACCCACTTTTCACTATTTATGTTGAGTCCTATGTAATAGGGGGTGAGCCTATTGCCATATACCGGGCACAATTCCAGACTCCGTGCTACCACTGAGAATATTTAAAAACCCAGTAAAATTTGTCCAACTCGGGAATCGAACCCGAGATCACATTAATTTAATTCACTTTTCTTAAGGAAAGGAGCGTTTTTCTCGTGTGGTGACGTCATAGTACAACATATTTGTGACCGATCCTACTGTTCTCATGGTTGTCGCAAGAGTAGATTGAGGGAATTCACATTTAAAAGAGACCCATCATTAGCGCTCTTTGATAAAACCTGAACTTTTTACTAATCCTATCAAGTGTGGAGGTTGTGGAAATTATGGCAATCAATCTTAAAGTAGTGGAGGCTCACAGTCCAGCATAGTTAGTCATGGAGTATTGATGTGACGCCTTTGCTTTATCTCACCAGATAACCGAATTACTGAACTAGTCAGATATTTAAATCAAATCCTCAGAATACCGGTCGCTGTTCTGGGCGAGGGGTGAATTTGAACAGAAGGATATGGTAGAGTACGATACCATGAGCATCATGCACTTCCATGACCACGCCTATAGCAGCAATGGAGGACCTACTATAGTACCTTTGGTAAGTCGGAAGACTCGTAATTGCCATGTGATCATTATTTGTAATGGGCCGACGTTTGGCCTCTATCTGGCCTGGTGTGGTGGTAAGCGATGATGGGGCTTACGATATAGCACCTCTACTCATAAGCAACCTATTTACTCGGGCGTTGAAAATACCCTTCAGGGAACACGGACTCTGGCAAAGAATGTGTGATTACTGGTGATAGTGTCGTGGTGGCATAGAGGCTTAAAACGCCCGCTTCTAATGGATGAGGATTTGGAGGAGGCCAGGGTTCGAAATTTGGCGAGTACCAATGTGACTTCTATGGAGTTATATGCACTTTCCAAAATTATTTAGATACCAGTGAGATACGGTGAAGAAACCAGGGAACCAAGACAGTTATTCATGTCGCCGGACTTCAGTGTTCCGTGTTTTCATGGTTGTATCTACTGTAGATCCTGGCTTACAGGAGTTGCAGCGGTTCTGGGAGTAGTGGCGGGCTTGTCCTATATAAATAAAGATAGTGAAGAAAAACATCGCGAGGAAATCAGCACTTAATAATTAGGAATTATAAGTTTCAAATTGCCTTGATCAAGCGTGGTCATTAATGCTCCAGCCTATTCTATTTGAGAAGAAGAGGCCTTTGCTTAGCAGTGGGAACTTATTGGTGGTTGTTGAAGATGATGATGATGATGATGATGATGATGATGATGATGATGACTGAGTATTCTCTGCGTGTATTCTTATACATTTGTCATCTGCCAGAGTAGGGGTAACTCTTGTCGCGAGTGTGTTAAAACTAAGGGGCATATCTAACAAAGAAGGCAGTAGTTTTTATTGTATCTGCAAAAATCTGTGTTGCTTGAAATGAAAATGCACACATGAAAATGCTTGAACAAGGATTTATGAAATCATAATAAAATTGTGGAATATATTTCCTCAATCGGCTTTAAACTATTAATAAACTTTCACGGCGTAACAATTACTAAACATTTAAATTGAGCAACTAAGCTGTCAATATATCTATGCACTTTCAAATTTTGTAATCTGCCGTACTTACTTTATTAAAGAAACTAACTTAACTCAAGTAAGAGTCTAAGACTCCCTCCCGCCTCACCGAAGGCGGGAGAAGTCGTTGGATGATTTTCCTATGAAGAAGATGAAGGTACTATTGCGTACCTTCCTTGTGAAATAGGCAGAGGTATATCAGCAAATATTTTGCCAATAATGACATAAATCACATGAAGTTGAGTAAGCCATATCTCGTGTATTCCGCCAGGGCTTGCCGCCTTTCGTGATACATACTTATAAGAATTCAAACAAGCCTTTGCCCAATCACGGGATTTTATATGAAATCTTTTTGCTAAATAGTTGGGCATACTGTCTTTCCACCAATTACAATCAGTAGTGAAAGTAAAAGGAAATTTTATGGCGTAATGAAAATGTTTAATTGATTCTCAGGTACACGGCTTGAAAATTAAGCAATCAGAAACAGTTCATTTTTCTCAGTTAGACGTTATGAAGCTTCAATTAACTTATGGTCACGATTGCAACAAACGTAAGGTGAGGAAACTGTATGAAACCTGTCAGGCTGTTATGGGAGAAGGTGAAGCCGGATCAGATGGTCAAGAAGGTTCAGATGGTCAAGACGGTTCAGATGGCCAAGACGGTTCAGATGGTGAAAACGGTGCAAGCGACGGAGACGGGACAGTAATTGAAGACGGTGAAGGTGGTAAAGACGGTCAAGACAGTAAAGGAGATGAATACGATACAGAAGGTCAAGACGGTCCAGAAAATGGTGACAATTTAGATAATAATCAAGACAACCAAGACTTTGCAGATGATCAAGGCCGTCAAGGAGGACAATATGTTAACGGATCTCATACAACAAAACAAATGAACCCATCACCCAAGTCAATGGTTAACAAAGAGCATTTTGATTCGAAGAAAAACGTATCCCAGAATAATGTACCAAATAAATTGTAACTCGAATATAAGTTCTACTAGATGTTATATATATTGTTTTGTTTATTGGCAGTATCTTGCACTCACTGTCTAAGGTTCTAGATAGACGGATCACATTCCAACTGCAAATTGCAGTTCTCAATATTGCAATCAGTCTGCAAATTGCAATTGCAGCCTAACCTAACATCATTATAATGCCAAAGTTTGGATATATATTCTTACTTAATCACGCCAGGACGGCTGGATGAAAAATAATGCGCTTATGTCGGAATACTGAAACGCTACTCAATTTTAAGTCGTACTTAAGTATAGTTCTATCTCTACAAATTCTTTGTAAAATGACAGAGATGGCACGATATTTGAGCACGACTTAAAATTACGTTTCAGTATTCCGGCATTAGCCTCATAGAAGTAGGTAGATTATAGTCTTGATTCTTGAAAAACACACAGACTGCTTTTTACCCGAATACTAAAAGTTCTTGACAGAAATAGATGGCATATTTTTGTGACCTTCTTAAAGATCCATTGGGAATCCTTGATTCTATTGTTTTCATTCTAAGATACCTATTGGTGGTTATTGTCGTTACACGCATACACGGTAGTTGACTGAACTTTATTTTAATGTTAGTCTATTAGATTACCGCCTGACGCAGGTCCTCACCGGACATTGAAGTTTCGGGAGGTACCTGTGTCTGATGGGGCGGGAGGAAACGCCCGGGTGTCATCACTGCGAGGGCCGCCCTGAGGACACGGTGGAACACACCGTAGCGGAATGCCCTGCGTGGGCTGAGCACCGCCGTGCCCTCAGGGAAGTGATCGGCGATGGCGACCTCTCGCGTCCGGGCCTAGTGCAGGCCATGATGCGGAGCGAGGGGGACTGGGATGCCGTCTCCTCCTTTTGCGAAGCAGTCATGCTAGCTAAGGAGGAGGCGGGACGCGTGAGGCAGCGAAGCGCTGCCTCCTCGCAACCCAGCCATCGCGAAGGACACACCGGGCGTCGGGGATCGCGGGACGATCTCCGGCCACCGTAAGCGCGGGCCTGCGGACGGCGAGCATGGGTGGCTCCCCGTCCGACCAGAAACAGACCCGAGCGTACGGCGCGGCGCGTTCCGCGCGCGCCTCAAAGAGCCATCAGACCACCACAGATGGGGCCCAATAGGGCCGATGCCGATTCGGAGTCGCGGAGAACCTAACGGGTAACCGGGGCTCCGGCTCGACGTGCAGGAGAAGGAACGGGGTGGTTTTTAGTCAGTAAGAGTCTGACACTCCCTTCCGCCTCACCCAGGCGGGAGCAGTCATTAGATGATTTTCCCCCCTTAAAAAAAAAAAAAGGCTATTAGATTAATTTAAAACATTAGACACGTATTTTTTCTTTTCTCACAAAATTAAATACTTTCGACGATAAGTATTAAATATCGTGTGACATCACAATACGCTACATTTTGTAGCACTTTGTGACGTAACGACCTCCCACTCCTAAACTTAAATCCATTTTATCTAAGTATTGTAACTTTATACGAGAAAATAAAAAATACGTGTCTAATATTTTTTCATTATCTAACTGACGGACTAATTAGATTTTAATTTTCATTCTTCGGAAATGCACCCTTCTATTTTTTTTATGGCATAAGCCGGTAAACGAGCAGACGGATCACCTGATGGTAAGCAATCGACGTCGCTCATGGACATCTGGAACACCAAAGGCGTTACAAGTTTGAGGATCGTTAGAGATTCAGGAATTGGGGAGATTGGGGAAGGGGACAATTAATAATTGGGCCTTCGGTAACCTCACACGACAAAACACAACGCAAGCGTTGCTTCACGTCGATTTTCTATGAAGCCGTGGTATTACTCCGGTCGAGCCGGCCCATTTGTGCCGAAGCATGGCTCTCCCACACTTCTTTGAATTTTATAATTCGAATGCGGCATTGTTTATATTACACTAGCTTCTGCCCGCGACTTCGTACGCGTAATCCCATTTTTTCCCGTCCCCATTCGTGATTTTCGGTAAAAAGTAAAAAAAAAGTATTGGTTAAAAAGTATCCTATGTCGGTCTCCTGACTCTAAGCTACCTCCCTACCAATTTTCAGCCAAATCTATTCTGCCGTTCTTGAGTTATAAGTGGTGTAACTAACACGACTTTCTTTTATATATATAGATAATCTATAAAATATAAACAGAATGTTCTGAAATTACATGTATGCATCTATTGTTTATGGTGAGTTTCTTTCAATTTTCCTTGATAAGTGTTAAAGTTATTGTGTCAGTGACCAACTCAATAAGTTCATTGTTCACTCATGTCTATGGCTTGAACGATGTTGATGAAGTTCGAAATCATTACTTGTACAACTAAGGCCGGTATTATAGAACGATACTCAAGCGAGGATGTCTGCTCGATCGAGCATACTCAATTAGAAAGAGATGCACATATCTGATAAATGTATTTGTATCCCTTTTTAGCTGTACGTGAGAATTGAGCGAGCATGGTTCTATAATACCAGCCTTAATGATGTCTAGGGCCTTAAGTCGAGTTAGTTCTACGTTTAAAGTAACCGTAAGGAATACGCGTTCGGCGCTGTGATTGGCCGGTTACAATAAACCAACCTATCAGAACGCGCTGAACGCGGTCTTGTTTCGATCAAAACATAATCGTACTCTCTGTTATAACGATATCGCGAAGAATTAAAATACTACATTTATTCGCAAAAGACCGTTTAATTACTTATTTTTCTTCTTCTGTCGAAGTAATTCAATCTTCTCAGCGTGTTGTCTCCTATCTACGCACTGCTTGAAGTAGAGAAGATTTAGTTTCTGCACATCTGCTGAGCTCAGACCTTGCCAATTGCCCATAGCCCAGCCATCGTTCTGGAAATAGAAATATTGCAGTACATTAGATTAATTGCAAATTATCGAATGACTTCTCCCGCCTGGGTTAGGCGACAGGGAGTGTCAGACTCTTACTGACTAAAAACCACCACGTTCCTACTCCTGCACTTCAAGCCGGAGCCCCGGTAACCCGTTAAGTTCTCCGCGGCACATTATTATGGGTAGAATAGTGTATTATGTCGTGGTGGCCCAGAGGTTTCAGACGCCCGCTTCTCATGCATGAGAGTGCGGGTGTGAAACCTACCAACGACAAATACCAATGTGACTCTTTCCGAGGTATATGTACTTTCTAAGATTATCTAGACACCACTGACAAACGGTGAAGGAAAACATCGTGAGGAAACTAGGTATAATTTCTAATTATAAGTCTGTAATCGCCAACCCGCGTTGAGCAAGCGTGGTGATTAATGCTTAAATCTTTTCCGTGTGAGAAGAGTATTTGCTCAGCAGAGGGCATTTATAGGCAGTTGATGATGATGATGAGGATGAGGTAGAATGAAATCAAGTGTTACTTTGCAGAAATCCATGCTACACTATATAACAACTGAGAAAATATTTAGAGTTTATTCCGCTGAAGAAATGAATTTGCAGCTTGCAGTATGCAGCACCGCCCTCCCGGCTGCAGATAAACACTCACTCAAAACTCACAAACGACATGCAACGAACTACTCGAACCACACTCAACATATGTTTGGCTCCTCCACGAACCATCATCAGGAGTTGTTGACTTTGAAGCTCCCACGCCTCGAATTATAGGTAGAAATAGATTCCGTAGGATCCACATAGCGTGAGTAACTCTGATGTGGCGAATTACGTCAATTAAGCGAATCGTAAGAAATTACTGGGGCTCCGGCTTTAAGCAGGTGTTGGGATAGAGTGGTTTTTAGTCAGTTACAGTCTGTCGCCTCACCCTGGGCTGGAGGATAGGCTTTGTTCCAGTAACACTGACCACGCGGGGAGATCTGTCCACGACTTTGCCCTTGCTTCTGGCCTGACACAACTGGTTACCGCGCCCACGCGAATCTCAGATGTGAAGGGCCAGAGGTCTTCACTATTGGACCTTCTACTGACTTTTCACCCAGACGGCTACAGCTACAGCGTATCCGTTGATGCCCTTCTTGGCTCATTGGATCATTGCCTTGTCCGACTTGTTTATAGCTTTAGGCGTAATTACCTACATACGTCTAATATTTTAGTACGGATAATAATATATAATACAATGTCATCATAAACAGCTTATAAAGTGCCCACTGCTGAGCAAAGCCTCTTCTCACGCGGAGAAGGTTTGAGCATTACTCACCGCGCTTGCTCAATGCGGGTTGGTAATACTTGTAGGCCCTTTCTTAGAATTAGCACGTATTAGTGAAGCAAAATGAAAGTTACCCATATAGGATACATGATGTTAGTTTTTCCATCCTTGATCTGCAGCCAGGGGTAGTGCATGACGCTCTGGTAGTCGTAGGGGAAACCGACGGAGGCAGCTGGTTTGAGCTTGGTTTTCATTTCTTGTTTTATATCTGTACAAAAATGGAAATTACCAATAGTATCTATGTATGTTGTCTCTTGGTCAAAAAGAATAGACAGGAAACAATGAGGACGTATTATTTCCTGAAAATAAAAAGACAAAGTCTACAGTAGGTACACTTCCTGTGAGATATATTATACAAATACTAGCTGACCCGGCAAACGTTGTTTTGCTATATAAAAAATTTAGGGGTGGACTACCCCGAACATTTAGGGGGATGAAAAATAGATTTTGGATAGATACCGGATGAGCACAAAAAATTTCATCAAAATCGGTCAAGCCGTTTCAGAGGAGTATGGTAACAAAAACTGTAACACGAGAATTTTATTATATATCAATGGTAGATGGATGGTTTCAAAACAGTACAATGTAATTCATTCTCAAAGTTCCCTTAGGGTCGAATTTTCAATCATCAGTTAATTCTTAACTGTCGAATAAAATTGACAGTTTAAGTAGAAGAATTGTCAAATATTCAAAGTTATTCCTTATTTAAAATTTACCTGAGCATTGAAAATTGGCCCTTTTAAAATTAACTAAGAATAGAACCAAGCCTAAGCTATCATTAGAATAAGAATTAACAGAAATCAACTTTAAAAAAGTGACAATTTGGTTGAAAATGGAATAGGGTAGGATTGTAAATTTTATTTTAATGTCCGACTGGTAGGTTATTTTAATACATTAGACACGTATTTTTTTTCTTACAAAATTAAATACTTTCGATGATATATTGATTTTAAATATCGAATCATATCACGATTTACTTAAATACTACATATAGGGTAGTGTGACGTAACGATCTCTAGTCACTTCTAAACTTAACTCCTATTTATATCTAAGTATTGTTTTCTTATACAACAAAAAAAAAAAAAATATGTGTCTAATATTTTTTCATTGTCTAACAGACGGAATAATACATTTTTAATTTTGATACACTGTCTATTAAACTATTGGTATACTTCTAAAGAATAGTCCATTTGTGTCGGTACCTTCAGTTAACTCATCCCATAAGATGTGGAGGTAGTTATCCCTGTCGTACATATTGTGCTGGTGATCCAAACCCAGGATATGCACGAACAAGTGCAGCAGGTCATTCACAGAGTTGAAGCAGTCCGAGTTTATGGCTACTACCTGGAATATATATGTTAATAGCTGAACCTGAGAGGCTGTTACAATTTTTGTTATTGGAGACTGATTGAGAATAATCCGAACCTATACAAGGTGTTGTTTTAAAACCGCGTCATTTTCTAGGAGGTAACTCGGATATCGATTCCGAGTCCGAATCAATAAAAAAAATTGTAGGTAAATATTTATCATTTTTCTGAAATTACGGAAATCCGTAAGTCCGAAGTACACGCCGCCATTTTGTAACTAGCTTTATAACGCGGCTTGATACACACAAACTCAAACATGTAATTGATATTATTCCTAATTCCATAAAACTCCAATAAGAAACATTGCTATTGCTTATTCTGAAATACTGTCGAACTTAAACTATTTATTATAGCCGTATTTTTAACTATTGGCCCGAAACTTTCTTTTACATTGAACCTTTATGACTTCTGTGACATGCCCCCGAAAAATGACACAGTTTCAAAACTACACCTTGTATATCGCAGCCCCGTTGAACCCTCAACCATGTGGTCATTTAGATTGAAGGATAAATTGCCAAGAGATCTGAACTTCAATTCAACTGTAAGAATTGTATAATACGCCCATAGTTCAGCAGTGGACGGTCATAGCTATTGATGAAACGAACATGGTTTGGTCAATTACAACATTTAGCCCGGTCGTCGTTATTTTCAGGCAAAAGTTTTTTTTATGGCCGGTAAACGAGCAGACGGATCACCTGATGGTAAGCCATCGGCGTCGCCCATGAATACCTGGAACACCAGAGGCGTTACAAGTTACCAGCCTTTTGGGGATAAGGTTAAAAGTCCATAATACAACTAACAATGTGATAGTAAATAATGAGAGAAGTGAAATTACTTAAATGGTGAAAAAGCTCTATTTGTTTCAGGTCACATCGGGACCCTCATTCATGAGCAAGGTCGTCGCCGCGTCATGCATGCTGAGGCCTTAGTACAAGTTTGTTTTACGTTTAAAGTATTCGAAACGAGTACGCGTTCTGCGCTCTGATTGGCCGGCAACAATGAACCAACCAATCACAGCACCGAACGCGTACTCGTTACGATTACTTTAAACGTAAAACAAACTCGTACTAAGACCTCTGTTTAGCTCTGATTTCACGTGTAAACCGTTATTTTCAACTAGCTATTTCCTCAAGGCTTCACCCGCTCTGCTCGCTGCCTATTGACCATAGCGTGATGTTTTATAGCCTTCCTCGATAAATGGACTATCCAACACAAAAAATTATTCACATCGGTTCAGTAGTTCCTGAGATTAGCGCGTCCAAACAAACAAATAAACAAACAATCAAACAGACTCTTCAGCTTTATATAATAAGTATGAGTATATAAGATAATATAAGATTAATTTAAAGGTGTTTATATAGAAACTAGATTTACCCGCGGCTTCGCTCGCGTCACAAAAGGATAAAAATGTAGCCTATGTGACATATACCAATACACACAGCGCCATCTATACTAATACTTTTGTTTTCCCTCGGGAATATCAAATTTTTCTGGGATAAAAAGTACCCTATTATTTAATCCGGACTTCTAACTTTATGTCTGCAAAAATTCAAAGCAACCGGTTTAGTAGTTACGGCGTGAAGGTGGAACAAACAAACAAAGAAACAAACTCACTTTCCGATTTATAATATTAGTAAGGATGTTTGTAATTACATATTTTCCTTCAGGTTTCCCTGGATGAGGACATTGGCACCCAGGGAGAGGAGAACGGGTGAACTGCACAAAGAAGGTGGCGTGTCTTCTGGCAGGCGACAATTGAATTGCACGCTTCTTTCTGGTAGTTGAATTCTTCTCTATTAAATAAGCAGAAGATTGGGTGGTTAGTTAAATAGTAATTTAGATAGTGTCTACTGTAGTAAGTGACGCTCTGTATGTAGCTTTTATTTCCAATGGACAAGTTGTTGAGTGGACGTGTAAATGTGCATACACTTTTTTATATGACGGGCCGGTAAACGAGCAGACGAATCACCTGATGGTAAGCAATCGGCGCCACCCATGCACACCTGCGAAAACCAGAGGAGACACAAGTGTGTTGCTGATACTTTCGGGGGTTAGAGATTTGGAGATTAGCGAAATTGGGAAAGGGAAGAAATTAGGCCTCGGGACGCTTTCGGTAACCTCACCACTCACACAGCAAAAAGTATTTGTGTTTTGACCCAAACGTTGTATCTCCCTGGTTTTCTGTGAGGCCATGGTATTGCTTTGGTCGAGTCAGCCTATTTTTTTTATGGCATAGGAGGCAAACGAGCAGATATATCACCTGATGGTAAATGATCAGCGCCTCCCTTGGACATATTATTCCTGCTAAAGCATCCCACACTTATGTTTAAACTGGTCTAATAGTTTCATGGTGGAGATAGTATGTTTCTATTTTAATTGGCTACGTCGTGTCATCATTATCGTAATATCACGCCTTTTATATCCGAAGGGATAAGCAGAGGTGCACATTACGACAGTTAATGCCACTGTACAATGTAACACCCACTTATGACTATTTACGTTATGAGTCGCATGTAATAGAGGGTGAACTTATTGCCATATACCGGGCACAATTCCGGACTCCGTGCTACTACTGAGAAATAAAAAAAAAACAGTAATGACTGACCCAGGAATCTAACTTAGAAAAGGATAATAATGTTAATAAAACTGCGGTGTATGACTAATAACAAAAAAATCAAGTAACTTTCTTTCATCGCGTGCACTGCATACGTGGTTACATCAGATACTGTTCAGTTTCATAACAGTATGCATTTCAGTCCGCTTCGCTTACATTTCAAACGCTTTCTGAATCGACTGACGGATTAAAAAACATAATGAATTTTTCAATTTCTTTGTTTGTTATTATTATGGAATTAAAAATTCTTCTCGTGTATGATTTTGATTTTGGGATTATGAATTGGGATGTTATTAAAAAATACACACAAATAGAACAGTAGATTTCAACTGTGTATAAGCCATGCTTAAACACAAATGGGCCGGCTCGAAAGGAACCGTACCACGGCCTTACAGCAAACCGACGTGAAAGTAGGTATACTTTTTTTTTCTTTTAAGGGGTGAACATCATCGAATAACTTCTCTCGCCTGGGTGAGGCGGAAGGGAGTGTCAGACTCTTACTGATTAAAAACCATCCCGTTCCTACTGCTGCTCTTCGAGCCGGAGCCTTGGTAACCCGTTAAGTTCTCCGCGGCTCCGTATCGGCATCAGCCCTATTGGGCTCCGTCCCGTGGTGGTCTGATTCTGATGGCTCTTTGAGGCGCGCACGGAATCCAACGCACCGTACGCTCAGGTACATGAAACAATACTGGCGTAGTGTTTCTTCATGAGTAAGATGGTAAGCAATTACCCCCGAATGATCGGCAACGTCCTTATAACATCTTCTGGTGTCTATGCGGTAATTGGTTACCATCAGGTGATCTGTTTGCTCGTTTGCCTCGTTTGAAAATAGCATGATCAGTATCTTAGCATGAAATGTAAAGGTATAAAAATTACAAATTTTCTGCGCCAGCGTATGGACAAAGTAGTACTCTAAACTATAAAATTTATTCATTTGGTTTTCGACTGTATCTCAATACAATAAAGTTGAAGATAGAGAAATTTGACAGAAAAGGATAGCTGTACCTACTGCATGTTCTGTGGTTACTTACGAGTTGCACTGATATTACTTGCTTTAGCTTCATCAAGCATAATTTCCTTCAATTTGGATCCAACATAAGATGATTTTCCAGCCTTAAAATTCTTTTGCTGTTTCATCATAGTATTATCTAAATTATTGCGTGGAATGTTTTTGTTTTTCCTATCCCGTGACTTAACACACTTTTTTTTATTAGTTGTGGCTGTAGTCGTCAGGCTATCTCTCATTGCTCTTGAATCGTCTCCGTCGAGTATATCCAGGAAGTTCTCTATTATTGGTCCCTTGAACTCTTTGCTGTCTCCTTCTTTTACATTCATGTCATTAAGCATTACTTTTTCTCTGTCGGCAGCGTTCATGTTATTTATATTTCTGTATGGTGCGTCCCCGTCTTCTATATCCAAGAAGTTGGGTATTTCATTTCCTGCTTCGACATCATCCATGTCATTGGTATTATCTTTATTCCCATTGCCCGAATCCAAACCTCCACCGTTATCGGTGTCATTTTCAGTTACTGTCTGATCATCCGAGTCTACAACTGTATCTTCTTTTCCGTCATCTCCCTCTTCTGGCGTTGTGTCAGAAGATTCGTCCTCTGCGTCACGTATCATACCACTCAGGTCTCTAAATTCTATGCATGTTTCTTTTTCTATATGACGTATTACTGCATTTATGTTTTCTAATTCTTCGGCAGCTGTAATTAAAATTTAATATAATTTAAAGAAATAAACAAATGCATTTTTCAGAAAAATTGTTACCAAATACCACAACCACACAGCATCACGCTGCGATAAATAGGGGCGAAGGTAAAATCGCGCGGGGTAGCTAGCGATTAAATAATTTTATATTTTACCTGAAACTTGAAAAAAAATGGCCAGGGTATTGTTGTCTATTTGAAGTTTAATAATAGGAAGGTAATAATTAAATACATGATACCTACTGATGAGTAGACTCAAAAATCAGATGCAAATATTTTTTAAAGTTTACTGCATTTTCTATTAATGCTAAGATTTTTTCGAAAATCAGAAAAACACCCAGTGAATTTTAATGCAGGAAGAAGCTGAAAACCCTGGCTCGGCATGGATGAAGATGAATGTATTATGTGATAGGTAACTAACTACATATTATAATCAGTATTTAACAAAATCGCGTCCCCTTGTCGGTCAATATGTATTCTTAGATCTTTATAAGTACGTAACGGATTTTGCTGCAGTTTTTATTTGACAGAATCTGTCTGAATTTGGTATCGTCATAAAATTGAAAAAATATATGACGATACCAAATTGAAGCCAACGGTTTTATAAAAAAAAAACGCATAGAATGGCCTTGGGACAATACAGTGAGCAACATTAGCGGTGGATATGCCGTGCCCAAACAGTTTTCTACTGGCAATTTAAACATCATCATCAACAGCCTAAAAGTTCCCACTGCTCAGCAAAGCCTCTTCTTACATAGAAAAGGTTTTTTATGTTTGATGGGCCGACGTTTGAGCACTATCTCGCCGAGTGAAGCGATGATGCAGTCTATGATGGAGCACGCCGTCCCATAAGCGACCTATTCACTCGGGCCTTGAAGACACCCAGATTTGAGCATAACCACAAATGTATCAGATGTCGGTGTAGAATAATTACTTACAAAATTCCAATCTGTCTCTAAATTGATAGTTTATGATTCCATAAGGCCAAACTCTGTCTTCAAAGTAATCTTCGATTTCGTCTTGTGTTACTGGAGTTTGTGCGACTTGTTGTGTCCTCACAACGCTCGGACATGTCTTTACTAGGTATTCTCTATTCCGTTTGACGCACTCGTTGGCATACAGCATGCTTACTTTCTCAACGTCCAGTTCACTGAGGCCTTCACGTTGCCCGATTTTGATGTTTGGCTGGGATTAAAAGATAGAAGGTTTTATCTTGGGCCCCATTCGCACGGGAGTTATTTTACAACATGTCAAAACAGCCTTCGTAAATAACAAATGCATGTTAGTTTCATACGTCCAGTGGTTTTAAAATGCGACGTTTTTATCAAGCAGTGTTGTGTTTTTAACGCTAGGCTTAAATCGCATACCAATGCCGAATTTTAACGCAACGTTAAAGAACTCTCGTACAATTGGGTCCTCATTGAAAGAAAAGAAAATGTTATCATTATGATTTTCTTTCGTTTCTTTGCCTTTAAAAGTAGCTGTATGTGGATTAATTGAGTTAAATGCTTTGACGTAGCTATCATGCTTCAAAAATTCACTACAGCGCTTAGAGCGAGTTTGTTTTACGTTAACCCGAGCGACACGTTTATGACGTTCGTCGCTCTGATTGGCTGCTTCAAGTTATCCATCCAATCAGAGGGCTAAACATGCCACATGGTAACGTTTCGACCATGGTAACGTAGAAATAGCCCATAGTCTGATAAACAGAGAAATATTAGATCAAGTAAATTACAGAGATGTTTTTATTAAGTAAGATTGTAGTTATTGATATTAGATAAAAATTGAAATAAGGTACTTCGGCTAAAATAGTGACTTGTCCATTTCTGGAGAATGCTCGTGCAGGGTAGTGGAGGACACTGGCGTAGTCGTACGGCAGGTTGTCCAGATGTGTATGCGAATGTTGTATTTCAAAGAACTTTTTGTAACCTAAAATATTAAACATTTTTTTTATTGAAATCGCTACCTATTTGATGCTACTGGTTCGCTGAATGCAAAGTTGTGCGTGATAAATAAAGTTCCGTGAATAAAGAAAAAGAGCAACAAGATAAAAGAGCCAGTTATGTACTTTACACAATAAGTGAATTCAAATGATGTGCTCGAAACACCCCACCAAATCTCACAAGTCCTTTTTGATAATCATCATTGATGCCGTTGCGAACATTGTCGCTGGTAGCCGCTTCATAACATCTTCATCATTATCAGCTGGAAGCGGTCTTCTGCTGGACAAAGACTTCCCCATGCCTGGTAGGCCTTTTTTTAAGGGGGTAAAATCATCGAATGACTGCATCCCGCCTGGGTGAGGCGGGAGGAAGTGTCAGACTCTTACTGATTAAAAACCACCCCGTTCCTTCTCCTGCACGATGAGCTGGAGCCACGGTAACCCGTTAGATTCTCCGCGACTTGGTAGGCCTTTATGACATGCCTCGTTTCGGTTTGATTTATTCTGAAAACTGGGTACAATAGTTCTATTCCTCAATTTTTAACCCTCATCTTACCTTCTTTCACATGGTCCCATAATATAGTGATGTATTGGTCTCTATCAGGTCTGGTATGTTCGTGTGAGAAACCCAGTATATGCATGATCTCATGTGATATGTCGCCAACACTCATGCAGTCATAGCCGAACACTATCATCTGTTGATGGTGAAAAGGAATCAATTAATTATTGATTTAGCTTAGTTTAAAAAATGTCTTATGCCAATGGTGATTTAGGTGAACTCTTTAAGAGTGATAATCATCTAATGATTTCTTCTGCCTTGGGTGAGGTGAGAGGGAGTGCCATACTCTTACTGACTAATAGGCACCCTGTTCCTACTCCTGCATCCAGTCAGAACCCTGGACACACGCTAGGTAATTCGCAAATTCTGTCGGGACTCTTGTTTGCCTACCTCTAATTTATAATACGTAAGTAATTAATAAAAATTTGTTCATTCTCCCAAATTTTTGCACTCTTTAAGACTAGATTCTTTAATGTTTTGTTTTGCGAGCGCGAGTTACACTTATGACGTTTATGACGTTCAGCGCTCTGATTGGCTGTTCTAAGTTAACTAACCAATCAGGTTGGTTCACTGGAGCCGGCCAATCAGAGCGCCGAACGCACTCGATACCATTACGTTACGATTGCGATAGTTATTCGTCCTTGGTACGTAGGCGTCCAGGGCGTCCAGGGCTATATGCGGTAACCTTTTGACGGTGTTAACGTAAAAACAAAATGACGCATAACCTGTACTCCTTTAATTTCTGCCTTCTCGTTACTATGTACACACTGTCTAATCCCAGATGGGTTGGTGATATACAGCCATATAACGTTTTGCAGCGATTGCTGGTCCGTCGGCCTTTCTCGAAGCCGTTGCAGACGGACACAGGTCGCCTTTTCGAAGTAATCAAATGCTTCAAGTATTTTTTCGGATAGTTGAGCGTCTGAAACCAGAAGATTATGGTGTAGGATAGGAGGGAGAATGGAAGAAAAAGAGATACTTTATGCCATAAGTTAGACATGTGGGATGAGGGCAGGAATAAGCAGATACTTGGGAGCAAAGAAACGGAGCCGCTAGGACTTTTTTTAAATTTTATCGAACCCTTTGTATCTTAAAAGATATCCTTGTACAACAAAATAATTTTACAGATACCTAAATTGCCTATTATGCGACATACGTTACCAATAGGTCAAAAGTAATTATTTTGACTGTTCAAATTTAAAATAATTACACTTTCATTAATTGATTTTATGACCAAATTAATTTTAGTATTTTTCCAGCAACATTTTAAGAAATAAGTATGCTGGTTGACGCTAAGAAAATTTGACGTCACAATAAACAATCTCGTACGTTTAAATTCATAAAAAAACTGTTCTTTTTTGACAGTTCGAAAAAAGTATTGAATTTGACTAGTTGGCAAGTAGTTGGTTTGCTCCCATTGCGCAGCAGTCAGTTGCCCAACCACCGCGCCAACGGTGCAGTCAACGTGTGCACAACATGTGTATTGTAGTCTCAATAACCCATCTCTTAATTGATTGAACTATAGGAGTTAAAGGTTAAAGGACTGCCTCGTTGGCCGAGTGGTCGCAAGTGCGACTGCCGGGCAAGGGGTCTCGAGTCCGGTTCCCAGGTCGGGCAAAGTACTACTGGGTTTTAAAAAAAAACATCTTAGTTGTAGCACGGAGTCTGGAATTGTACCAGGCAATAGGCTCACCCCCTATTTTTTTTATGGAATAGGAGGCAAACGAGCAGACGGATCATCTGATGGTAAGCGATCAGCGCCGCCCATGCACACCCGCAACACTAGAGGAGTCACAGGTGCGTTGCCGGCCTTTGAAAAAGGAGTACGTTCTTTTCTTGAAGGTTTGAAGGTCCTATTACATGGGACTATAACATAAATAGTGTAAAGTGGGTGTACTTCTGTGTGCCAACCCCTTCGAGGATAAAAGGAGTGATGTTATGTTATCTGGTTCTTTCTAGCTTCTTCTACTTATACCATACCATAAGTTTTGGAATCAATGAAGTACGGAATGATGCCGTGGTGGAAACGAGGGGGTCTAGTATCAACAAAGGACGTATTTTTTTGAATATTATCTGTAGTTGGTCCCTCCATTATGAAGGGTGCAAATGGAAATCTTCGTCCAGTTTTGTTGGTAGCCATCTGGAAATTGAGTAAAGAGATTAACTGCGCGTCCCTATTGTTAGGACAAGTGGCTTTTGGCCAGCTTGGTTTAATGTATTAAACTGTCAAACACCGCGAGGACACCGGTGACCGTAACCTATTGTTCTTTAATTGTGTCTATAATTAATGTACTCAAAGGGTAATAAAAATCTAAATTATGAATACACATACTTGATGTAATTTTTTTTAGAGTTGAGTGTAAATTTTTTTTTGTATGGAATAAGTAGCAAATGAGCATACGGATCATATGATGGTAAACTAAATTTCTATTAGCTGTTTCTGACAGTTTGTTAGTGTACACCATAGATATAATATTTCTGTGGTGTACTCTAACAGAAACTTACGGTCGAAATTAACAGATCTTAATTCAAAGCCTGAAGGTCGAAAGCAGAAATTCTCTAGAAATTTTGGATATTTTTATAATTTTAGACATTGCAACACAAAACAGTCTTGAAGTGAGAATAATTTTGGCCAATGACGGGCGAGAATGTGAGCTCACTTTGAGGATTGACATCTTACAGAATAGCTTAATAGGTTCTTAATCTTTTCTTCTTCCTAACTTACCGGTTTTCCTTTATCATCTACTGTTGGCAGTTCTTTACGCCTATAAGATATGTTATGCCCCTTTTCAAGTAAATCATCGTATATTTTATCAACTATCTTTTCTACTCTTTCTTCATCTTTTGGTTTGAGAGCTGGGTTTATAGATTTTATGTCTCTTTTTCTCCTGGGACGAATATGAATCTTTTCTTCTGCTTTCTTTTTCTCTTTCTCATTCCCATTCTTTTTTTGTGTTAGTTCATTTTGGTCGAAATGTGTGAAAGGTAGACCTTCGCCTGGCATCATGGCCCTCAAAGTTTCCGAATTGAAGATCCTACACATCTCGCGTGTGTTCTCACGCTTTTTTTCGATCAATTTCGGATCAACTGAAATTAGTTCATAGTTATTGTGTTTCAGGGTTGAGTTTCAATTGGAAAAAGGCATATGATATAGAATTGTCAGTATTAAAGCTGAGGATTGATGGAGATTGAATAGTAAAATTGATTCAATGAAAGAAAGAAAGAAAAAAACATTTATTCAGCACCAGACACGATGCAGCATAAATAAAATATAAAAAGACAATAAAGGTGTGACAGTGGAAGTGATAAAACATAGAGTTGAAAAATTAAAACAGGAGAAATAGAAGAGAGACGCTGACAACATGCCTATGCCGAAAGGATCACCCACTCAGTGTAAGCCAGGCATACAAGTCACCCAGCACTGATTTTCAGTGGGCACCCATGCACGCACGGATGGTAGGCTGATTGTATGAAGACATGAGTTTCATTCCGGTACGAAACTAATATTTGTATACCATCATCTTATTTAATTTGCCTGTTTGTCTAAGTGAAATTTTATGTGTGCACATTAGTAGGGTATGGGACTGTTTTAAAAAACAGGAGTCTGTGTTTCCTGAAGGGTTATAACCTGGGTGTCTTCAAGGTCTGAGTGAATAGGTTGCTTATGGGCAGTCGTGCACCATCGCAGGCCATATCATCGCTTACGGTGGTGAGGTGAGATAGGTAGTGGTCAAACGTCTGCCCATTAAATATAAAAAAACGGGTATATAATATTCCAAAGTTTGTCATACTTTTGTAAAACTCAGTACCTTCATCTTTTCCCGATCAACGTAGGGGCAATGGGTGCAATATTTATTGTCTTTTTTTAATAATAATTAATTAATTAGGTAATTAATTAGGTACACTTACCCCTCCGAACAACCAATTCATCAAGGCCAGTATGAATCGAACATTTTATAATTAAAATTTGAATACTTAACAATAGGTATATGCCTAACAACATCGCTGTAACAATAACTTTATTTTAATTTTATTTACGACTGTAAAAATAAAACGAAAATTGAAAAGCGATCACATTTTTATAACTTCATCGTGTTTATAGATCTTTTTCAATTTATTGTATAGATTTTTTTATATATAACAGGCACCTATAACTATATGTAGCATTAACTTATGTAGATGTCACTTTTATTGTATCCTCATAAGCTACATATATACCTACTTAAACTGTCAAACACCAAGCGGTCACCGGTGACCGCAACCTATTGTTCTATAATGACGGTACTCGACGCGTTAATAGTAAAAGTCACTTTTGTTTATCTTATTCGAGAATAAAATACTTCATATTACTGCTTTTGTTTACATTTTTAATTGTTAACTAGTCTAATTTTAGGCCTAAACTACAATCAAGTAGTCACTAACTTTAAGGTTGAAAGTACATTGCAATAAAATATAAGGTGCAGGACCTTTGCACCGCGACCTCTATTGTTAAAAGCTAACAATGAGACCCTTTTCTCACTGGCTGAATACAACATGCGATAGTGACGTATAAACTCCGCGGTCCGCTGGTGAAGCACTCACCTGTCCGTTCGATTCGCAAATTCGAATTTAGAAAGTTAACTTTTTATTCCGGCACAAGTTTAACGAGGTTGGAGGTGTGGAGTCGAGTGGCCAGTCGTAGTTTGTGTGTCAGTGTGAGAGCACGTGTACGAACAGTGCCCGCGAAGTGAACGAACTTTTATATGTTACCGTTGTTTTTGTTATCATTGCCAAAAAAGGATTTTGTAAAGTAAGTCTATAATTTTTTTCACATATTTCTGTTACATTCGTGTTTATTTTATTATTACGTAATTTGATAACGTGGATTCCATGTTATAGCCGGCGTCGACGATTTTTTTGTTGACATAGCAGATTTTATGTGATGCCAAGTGTTACGAGTGGTGTAATAAAACTCATGGATTTGAATAATTATAGTATCTGTGGGAAATTAATTGTGGGGCAATGACGAGGTCGAGTTTAATTGAGTCCGTGAACTGTAATTACATACCTTTACATCTCCGATTTGTCATTTGCAATCCCGCCAAAAAAGTGCAAGTGATTCTAGGTCTTGTGGTTTGGACATAGGAACTAATTTTCAGATTGTGTGAAATGTAGAACATTAATCACCTGAGGTTGTTAGTTTTTTTTATGAATGCTTATAGTAGACAGTCATCTTCAACTTGTGTTACTATGTACTACAATCATTCAATGTGATGAACTTTCACTAACGTGAGACCCATTCACACGTGGCCAGTAGTTAGAGAAGGGCTAGTAAACGATTCGTGTTTAAAAAATACATTCTAGTTTATGTAAACAACGTTCGAAATTCAAAATTTAAAAAAATGAATTGATGTTTTGTCCGCCTAGTTCTAAAGTTCTATTTTCAAAATTGAGTCAAGCGTGATTTGCAAACTATTTAAAATTATTTTTTTGTAAGGTAACGGCTGATATCAAATGTCCTCATCCCTCATATCCTATCTGCTATAAGATGTCCACTGCTAAACATAGGCCTTCCCCAATGACTTCCTGATAGGAAGGAAGCGACGTCTGGCTCGATCTAAGTTTTTGACAGAAGTTCAACAGAATGCCTCGTTGGCTGAGTGGTCGCAAGTGCGACTGCCGGGCAAGGGGTCTCGGGTTCGATTCCCGGGTCGGGCGAAGTATTACTGGGTTTTTAAAAAAATCTCAGTAGTAGCACGGAGTCTGGAAATGTGCCCGGTATATGGCAATAGGTTTACCCCCTATTACATGGGACTCCTAACATAAATAGTAGGTGTTATATTGTACAGTGGCATAATGTGCACCTGTGCCTACCCCTTCGGGAGTAAAAGGCGTGATGTTATGTTATGAATTATGATACAATAGAATTAGTGTCATCCAAAGAATGTAAATGATCCAACATTTTTGTATTGAGATCAGTTATTAGACATTTTCTAACGGAAAACTCTTCTCTTCTGGGAATGGAGATAAAATATCCAACATAGAGTCCAAATTGGTATCGAATTGTAAATAAATGATACGTTTTAATTATCCGTAAATATTGAAAGACATAGGTACATACGATAGTACTTGATAGGTAGGTACTTGTGATTACAGTAATTATGTATGTATGTACATAGTAGGTACGTGTTTGTATGTATGTATGTGTATTAATTATGCAATTACATGCTAGTTATAGCGATTGACTGTAACTAATGGGAATAAATTATATTTTTTACAAGCTAATGTAATACTTATGCTTAAGGCGGAAGTTTCATAATTGGAAATACTTTCCTAACAATTAACTTGGGTACGTAAAACTTTGATTTTTATAACTAATACGTATAAGGTGCAAATTGGCGTAACAATAGATATTTTAGTATTTAAATATTAACAATTAACTGGGTACGTAAAACTTTGATTTTTATAACTAATACGTATAAGGTGCAAATTGGCGTGGCAATAGATATTTTAGTATTTAAATATTAACAATTAACTGGGTACGTAAAACTTTGGTTTTTATAACTAATACGTATAAGGTGCAAATTGGTGTGGCAATGTATAGTATTTAAGGATTGTAATTAATTAAGTTCCGAGTGTGAAAATTCTGAACAATCGGTCTGTTTGTTGGGATTTGGTTGATTTGGGCACATTTTGTATGGAACTTTCATCAAAATTTTAACTCCTAACATAACATAACATCACGCCTTTTACCCCCGAAGGGGTAGGATAGAGGTGTACATTATGCCACTGCACAATGTAACACTAACTTTTTCACTATTTATGTTACGAGTCCCATGTAAAAGGGGGTGAGCCTATTGCCATATACCGGGCACAATTCCAGACTCCGTGCTACTACTGTGAATTTTACGAAAAACCCAGTAATACTTTGCCCGACCCGGGAATCGAACCCGAGACCCCTTGCCAGGCAGTCGCACTTGCGGCCAATGAGGCAGTCCTTTAACCTTTAACTTCTATAGTCCAATCAACTGAGAGATGGGTTATTGAGACTATAATACACATGTTTTATACATGCTGACTGCACGGTTGGCGCGGTGGATGGGCAACTGACTGCCGCGCAACGTGTCGCGGGTTCGATTCCCGCACGAAACAACTCTTTGTGTGATCCACAGATTGTTGTTCCGGGTCTGGGTGTCATGTGTATGTGAACTTGTATGTTTGTAATCACACCCACGATACAGGAGAAAATCCTAAGGAGAAAATCTTAGTGTGGGTAACGGTTTTTTTTAATGTTTGATATTATCTACTAATAAGCATAACACCGGTCATCAAAAATGACCTGCATTGCTAAGATCATGATTTGGTCTTTGATCCAATAGATAGACCAAATTATATCAAAATTTGAAAAACAGATCTAAACTGATAAGAGTACGAAATTTCACAATACCAATGTCGATCGATCGGAATTGGATTCAAGAGTACGCCCCCTGGAGGAACTACGCGGAAGTAGCTAGTCTAATAAGTAGATTCTCTTATAACGATTATAAATATTACCGACCAGTCTTTTTATTCTTTGGTCCTTAATACCGGTTCTTTTGTATATCAATAAGTCTATAACCTGAATGTCCAGTGACAATGATACAATAGAAGGAACATACAGGATAAGAGCTCTTTTATAAGATATGCCAATTTTGACCAATTGGAGACAGACTTGAGGATTAGGAATGAACTGTCGCCTGCAGCATTTCAGTACTGATACCACTTTCGAAGTACAAACTTAAAAAAAATGGTATTACGTAGAAGCTGGTAACGCACTTTTTTATGGGATAAGCCGGTAAACGAGCAGACGGATCACCTGATGCTAAGCAATTGACGTCGCCCATGGACACCTGGAACACCAGAGACCTTACACGTGCTTCACCGATCTTTTTGAGGGATTGGGAATTTGAGGATTGTTGAAGATTTGGGGATTGGAGAGTTTGGGGAAGGGGGTAATTGTGCCTCCGGTAACCTCACTCACATGACAAAACACAACGCAAGCGTTTCACGTTGGTATTTTATGAGGCCGTGGTATCACTCCGGTCTATTCGTGCTGAAGCATGACTCTCCCACATATACTTGTGACTCTTGTGGTAGGTATTATAGTCTCCATGGACATCGTTGATCGCTTACCAGTAGGTAATCTGTCTGCCCGTTTGCTCCTGTAGTAGTTACCGCTTAAAACAAATTTGGATATTGACCAAACACTATGTATAAAGTCACAAAAAATGTTAACTATTTGTCTAGGATTAGTACTTTTGTTGGGTTCGGTCTTGCTAAACAAAATTAAGGCTCGGCGGCTTGTAGGATTTGCTTCTACTTAAACGTAGTATAAAAAAAAGTTTCAAGGCTGTGACAGTTAAATATACAGATAAAAATCTTTATAAAGACAATGTTTTTTTGACTAATTCTAAAATACAGGAAAACTATAACGAATAGTGTCCCATGACTACGACGCGTGTTTTAAGTCTTAATGAGAATTATATTCTTTATTACAATCATTAAGACTATTGATTATTTCTAACCTTTTTTCCTCATATTAATGATATCTTTAGAATATATTAGGACTAATATAGAGGCTCGTAGGACCGTTGAGACTAATTACTAAAACGATTAGTATATATTTGAAGGGTTTTTAATATATTTATTATCGTTGTCTAAAGGATGGAGAAGGATTGATTAATCAGGACGGATTATGCGTACGGATACTCCGTTAGTAATGAAGATTTTCGTGACGTCAATTTGCACGTGGTAGGAACCCATAGTCCTGCAGAGAATGGTCATGTTGATCTTGTTGGTGTTTCAGTACGCATCAATGCTCTGACTCGGTCAGTGATTGCATCTCCTGTAATGTCCCAATTACCCCCCTCCCTAGTCTCCCGAATCCCCAAATCCTCCGCAATTATCAAATTCACAATTCCCAAAAGGCCGTAACGCACTTGTAACGTCTTGGTGTTTTGGGTGTCCATGGGCGGCACCGATTGC